TCCACGTGATGAACTACTAGTTTGAAAAGTTTTGTTACATTTTCGATCACAAACACTATTTTCTGTGACTTGAACGTCATAAGCGTTTAATCTAGGACCACCTGAAGGTTGACGTCGGTAGCCCATTAGGGTGATATTCCCATTGCTGTCAACAGTTTCGTCAAATTTAGGCAGATTCACTATCTGTACAAATTCGTTGATGAATACGTCCTCTTCCAATAACAAAATAGCTATGTCGTGATCGTCGGTACTAAAAGATTTTTTTTTTTAANAAGATTGAGTAGAAAATCCTTTAAAAACCAATGTCATGTTTCCTAAAAAAAAAAAAAAGATGTTTTTGTCAAATAGAAATTTAGTGCTATGATATTTGAAATAAAATTTATTAAATTAACCAACTAAAATTAGATAAATTACACTGTTTTACAAAATGCAATTATCTTATGTCTGACGCATACACTTTTTAGTTACTGGGTGGATAAAAAAATAAGCTAAACAAGTCTAATAGAAAATCAATATGCTTTATGTATGAAATTTTGTTCCTATCTCTGGCGCACGAATTTTCACACTTAGTAAAAAAATTATGTTCGATACTCAAGCACCATTGTACCGATACAACCTAATTTTAGTCTCTAATAAAGGCTAATATGGTTTTTTTTTTCAAACTAATTTGCAATAGCGATATTACTATTGAGTGAATTGTAAAATAAAAAAATGTTCGTACGTTTGGAATATTTTATGATAAAATCTTTTTTGGCTTTAACTACAAAAAAAAGGCAAAATAGGTCGTAAGATACAATTTTTCAAAATAAAAACTGATAAACCAAAATGGTAATAATTAATGGAAGGGCCTAACAGTGACTTTAGTGTAACTTTGCATACAAAAAAAATGCTTAATAAATTTATTGAATACCAATTTTTGATAGAACTTTCTGTTGACAGTTCTAATTATTATTTTTAATTTAATCCTTACAAGCTGTTAAAAACTTCTTCATTTTCTGTACTTAAGTTTGTAGAACTTTGATAAAGATACTACCAGAGCCTTATAGGTGATTTTACTTTTAATGCACATATATAATAAATTGAAATTTTTTTAGTACTTATCCATTTTTATTAATAAGTAGAAAAGTCTACTTACATTAAACTAATGTCCACTGTAGAATTAATCCAATTTAGAAAGTAATTAACTTTAATGACTATGTATACATCATAAAGTATTTGAGGAAGTAAACGAAAAATAAGTCCCATCATCACAGTTTTGTTACCATCTTCTCGGACAATAATACCCCCTCGCCCCATCTGGAAAAGATGAATAATTTTTAGTTAATCGAGACAATATAACTACTGCTGTTAAACAAAACTATCACTTACTACAGAAGATTGTGCTTTAGTGATAATGATACAAAAAAAAGAATCATTCTCTGTACTACGCTTGGGTAAATACATCATTAACTTTCTCTTGCATTCATTATTTTCCATAACTTGAGCTTTGCAAGATGTCTGTACGTAGTACCTGTTTTCAAGCTTACTGCTGATAACTGTGATGGTTAACTTTTCATTGACAATACCCAAATAATCAAGATCTGCGTATTTATGGATATTCACTTTTTCATCTAATCTCACAATAGCTATGCTATTTAAGCGGTTACTGAAAAGAATAATGACATTAAGTTAACGCCACAATAATACCTCGCATTTTAATCTAAATAATATTCTCACGTTGTGCCGTAGCTGCTGTGAACAACAGCATTTTTGACGTTAACTATTTGCTCACTACCATCGAAGTACAAACGAAAACCGGCATCATTATTATTATACCATGATGCATATCGTTTTAACCAATGTAAACAATAAGCATTTGTCAAAACAAGATTGTCTTTAATTAGTGCACCATGACAAGTATCCAAGTAACCAACACCACTACTTGGCAAGGCCTTGATAAGTACGTGATAAGGAAACTTGTCACTCTCCAGAGTAAACCTTGGTGGAGCCGAGGTAACTAAACGAAGATATTTTGATCTTAATAGATAGTATTATTGTATATATTGTACACCTAAAGAAATGATGCAATAGTATTTTTCGCACCCGGCAATGCATGTCACCAGGGCAAACAAAAGGCCACTACTTAACCAATACACTTCTTGTGCTTGCCCTAGTTGGATGTGTACCATGTGCGAACTATTTTATTCTCACTAAGTACACAGTAAACGTGCAGAAAAATATCCAAATAAAGGCTTTAATACTTTTTGAACGTGGCAACAATATTTTATAAAAAAATTATCGTGATAGTGAGCTATATCTTGAATTATAAAAGAATCAACTTTTATTTCTTGGTAACATGTACTTATCTTTCACAATTTGTATTTTATTTCATTTTTATTAATTAAATACCTATCTGTTTGTTACCAATTACGTGTGGTAACTGTTATGAGACGTACTATATTTTACTAAATTGGCAAAAAACAAACTGCTTCTGAAACTCTAATATCAAGTTGCTAACCACGACCACGTTTAACTATTAATCAACTTGACAATCACTAAAACTTTTTTTTTATAAAACATATTAGCCATTAAAGGTAAGTTACAGTTTTATGTTTGTACTTTAAAATTATTTAAAAATGCATGAAGTGTCACTTACTTTGTAATCGGTAATCTATGTTCGTCTTATTATTAATTACTCTCTTAATCCAATCGACGTCATGGGATGTTAACCGCGTGTTAAATATTTTATTCTTAGTGGAAAGTCCAAATAGCGTAATCTGACCACTACAATTTTTAAAGAAAATGTCACCATGTTGAACCTTAAAATAGAGAATACAAAGAAATGTATGAAACTAGTATCCCTAGAATGTAGTAAAGTAGATCACTGCCTTGATAGAATTGGATACAACCTTCAGTCAAAGTCTGAAAAAGATCCCATCTCGATTTTTTGTGTGATTGGCAAAATACCAAAAAGAAGAGTAATAGTTATCATACTATGGGCGCAAAGTTGTACTTCGTGCCCATGAGCACATTTCGGGCCAGCTAATATTTTTGCACCGGAGAACGGAAGAATACCTTAGCATCAAAGCCTCCATGCCAACCTTTGCACACATCGTAAGTATGGTTTTATTCATTTATTTGTTAATTTTAGATTAAGAGAAAATACAACGTGACTGAGGTAAAACTGCTTTGAGAATTTTCTTCTTATCATATTTGGATTCGAAATTTTGGACTTTAAAAAATTCTTAACAGCCTTATTACCAGACATTGATTAAAGCAACATCGAGCATCAATGTAGTATATACTTTTAGAAGTTACAATTTTTTCCAATAAACAAAAATGACCCATGATTAAAAATGAAAGAATTAACTTTTCTGACGGAAAATTAAAAGGACCTTTTTCAAACTTAATGCTAGATACTTATTACTTTTGTCCACTAAGGCATTAAAATTCATGAATTTAATTTTTACCGTTTTGTTTTCAAATTCAGCAAGACAAAATAATGATCCACGTGATGAAATAGTAGTTTGGAATGTTTTGTTATATTTTCGATCACAAACACTATTTCCTGTAACTTGAACGTCATAAGCTTTTACTCGAGGACTACCAGAAGATTGACGTCGGTAGCCCATTAGAGTTATATTCCCATTGATGTCAACAGTTTCGTCAAATTTAGGCAAATTCACTATTTGTACATATTCGTTGATGAATACTTCCTCTTCTAATAACAAAATAGTTATGTCGTGCTCATCAGTACTGAAAGATTGTTATTTTAGAATTGATTTTTGTACAATAAAACTCACGTTTCTTATGAAAAGGAAATAACTTACTCAAACACGTAATTTGGATGAACAAAAGTACGTATTACACGGATTGTTTCTACATCTTCTTTATCATCGTGTGAAATCCCGCCAACAATAACAAGGTTGAACGTTGAATCGAAGCCAAACAAGCAATGGGCACTTGTTACAACAAATATTTCTTTAACAAGTGCTCCAGAACACCAAAATCTTGATCCACTGGTAGTAATAACTTCGACAAGTACGAAATGTGGAAATCGATTTTTCAAGGATACTTCTTGGTTACTTTTTTCATCAACTACTTATTAATTATTACTTTCAATAAATTTTTTATTAAATGTTATAATTTCATTATTATTTTTTAAGTATAATTTTCATAATAGAACAGCCAACGATTATAAATACTTATTATATAAATCATAGTTGATAAACGTATGATCAAAACAATACTTACTTTTGTGTGATTTGTTTGTTGTTGAATAGAAGCCAATTTTATGTTTTATCCAATCAAGAAAATGGAAAATATTGGTAGCAAAACGATTGTCCTTACTAATAAGACCAGCTAGTACAGTTTTGGTACCATCATTTTGAAGTAAAATATCGGGCAATAAAGGACGGGTATCCTAAAACAATATTTTATGTAATTTTACAACTTGTTTTTCTCAAAGACTAAAAATATTCAATGAGTCACTCACATTAGTTAAACAAAAGAGATGTCCATATGCATCACACCATTCGGAATCCATTACTTTGACTTGACGAAATACTAACCCTTCATGATTACCGTTAGCAATGTATCTGAGGCCAACTAACGTCATAGTCCAACTGGTATTAAAAATTTGGTCAGAATTAGGAAGATTCAGAACACTTACGAACTCGGTGGATCTAACTCGTTGCTTTAATTGTATCATACCAATGTCATTTTCATCAGTACTGTAAAAGTTTTATTACTTTTGATTACAGTTTAAATTAATTAAAATAACGCTCTAGTCTGAAAAGAAATTTCTTACTCTTTATTGTAACTGGGATGAATAAAGGATTTCACGACAAGATACATATAGGCTTTTTCTTGATCGAGTGAAATACTGCCAGCAAACACCCGTTGACTAAGTGATTTCTTAAAATTAGAGGATGCATCATAGTAGTATAAACAATGAGCTGCCGCAATGACGAACGAGTCCGCCACAAGTACACCGTCACATGAAAATTCATAGTTGATGCCGTTATGTACGTAGACAAATACGTGGGAAGGAAACTGTCCAAACGAAGCCAACTCTTGAGCTCTGACGACTTGATGAATAGAAATTTTAATTAGTAAACTTATATTATAAAGCATTAGTTACGTTACAGAAGACAACTGTTGAAATAAAATACATTGTTACAAGACAGTTGATTACAATACAAGCATTTTTAGTACAGAAAGAAATGTAATGTATGTTTTTAATAGTGATATAAAATATAAAGAAACTAACCTTCAGTAATTAAAAGAGCAGCAATAAATTTCACTAAAATCATGTTCACACAAAAAGAAAGCTTCAATATCCAAATCTGAATGAAATTGTAGAATTAGAAGATTTAGTTGAATTTCCGATAGTAATTCATAAGGGACAGACAATTCGATTTTTAAATAATCATCACATTTACGGATATTATACTAAAAGTGAAATAACTTCTAAGCCATGAACGTGAAAATCTCTAGGAATAAGCGCTACACCACATACGTCACCAAGTATTTAAACGTCAGAAATTTATTTGCACATCAATTGTTTTCGATTGATTCAAGATATCTTCAAACAAATATTACGGTTAAATTTACGTACCAAAAGAGGCAAGTGAATAATTCCGAAGCCGTTTACTGGATGTTAAACAGAAGTTGTAAGTAACTGTATGAAATGTGTTTTGTTCGTTCCCAAATCAATCACTAGGAAGAACAAAGGAAAAATTGTTTTAAACTACTAATTAGTTTATAATTATACATTGAAAACTTTATGTTAATCAATTTGCTTTGAACATCATTAAGTTTATCCAACAAAGACGACAAAGTCTTTTTCTTGGAATTTCTTCTGTATGTATTAATATAAGCTTATACATTATACCTTGCCACTACAGAACTTGATTATTCACGTCATAAAAGTTCTTGATATCAAAACAGTACATTTTCTCCCTCGCTTAACTTATAAAACGTAAAAAAACTGCACTAGAATTGTTAACCTATTCTTTTTACTCAATAAAAATCACTATTAAAACCAGACTCAGATTAAATCGTGATGTATGCTTTTGTTATCGTCTTATTTTAGTGATTTGGATTGCAACCTTTCCAAGTTAGTCTTACTGTATACAAATATATTGTTCTTACTGTAATAATACGAAATTCAGCTCGGTTTTACTTATATCCGTTGAATTTCCTTGTACACGTTCATATTACGTACGTTGATTTACTTTTTATGATCATAACCACATGGTCTTGGCCTTACCTAATTACGTAAAGAATAACAGGACTAGATTCAAAGTTATTCTCTTTTTTAAGGTTAAAGATAGTGCCTTATTGATAAAAGAGTAAAAAATAGAAGTAACACAATCCATTAAGATCCAATGTCATCCCCCCTAGAAAAACTTTCTATGTTAAATGTAAATAAAGTATGATAATGTTTGAAATAAAGTTTATAAGAATCATATCCAACAGAAATTTAGTTAATTAGTACCTTCACAAGATAAAATAGTGTTAACAACTAATTATCATTACCCTAATTACTATGTTTTACTATTATGTAATATTAAAGGTAAAGAAATTTTAAAATTTCACTTCAATTATTAAATGAATGAATACGATAACAAGAAGAAGTCTTTTATTTTATGTTTTTTAGGCTGGGTATATAGACTATCAGTATTCTATACAATTTTCTCCCTATATCTGGCACACGGCGTCGCACCCTTTGCACTCAAAGTTACAAAACGATCACGGTATTAAGGATAATATTGAAACATTACTAGATTTCTTTAAAGCTTTAATTATATTTGTATTTATGAGAAGAGTTAACTGTTTTTTTTAACATTAGATAGATTTTTTTTATTTGTTACTCTTTGTCAAATATTTTAGGTAAAATTAAAAAAAGCCNTAAACTAAATTAAAATACAGATGAAAATTTTTAAAAAAATATTTTTTATTATCTTTCGTGAGTCTTGGAATTTTTAATGTTCTTCAATACCATTATGTACTCCACCTATGGAAAAGTAATGGTGATTTTTTGAAAGCGCAGATCAGATCAGATGGCGCGAGAAAGGAAAGATTCAGATTCCATTAAGACATACACACTAACATAAAATATCTGAAAACTCTGATTCAATAGAGCTGCCCTTCTCTAGAAAATTGATTACTAATCTCTTCTTACATTCATGATATTTCATAACTTGAGTTTTGAAGTTTTGTTTGCATGTAGTACCCGTATTTAAGTTTATCTCATTTTTGTAAAATATTGTAATTTATAATGTTCGTTTCTAAAGCCTGAACGAAAAAAAAATGTTATATGCCTATCAAGTTAGATTTAAAAATACACATTAAATTATTCATAACATTGTTTTAATTGATTTCATTTAGAACAAAGAACAAGGCCTTTCTTCTTAGAATCCATTAGGAATATAATTAACCCTTTAAAATTATGCCTTGCCACTGTCACTTATCCGACAAAGAGCTCGATTCTTTACAATTTCGTCATCATGACGGCACATTTTATTTCTAATAGACATTTAATTTTTTTTAATGTTATTTAAATTCATTTTTTTTTTGTTTTTTTTTTAATTAATCAAGTTTCTCTAATAAAGACGACGGAGTCTTTTTCTTAAAATCAATCAAAATTCATTAAAAATCTTATTTTTCAGACAATATGAATACAATACTTTTGATAAAAGTATCAAGACACAATAATTACTTCTTTTCGGTAAGTACGGAATTTACGTAAATTGACTTACAAAAATAATTAAGCAAACAGGTAAGAATATTTTATTACACAACTATTATATTTTACAATTATCAATAGACTGTAAATCATTGATACAATTAAATTATTCTTAACGAAAAATATAATTTTCTGGCATAATTTTAATATTACTACTATAAATTTTATCTTTTCAAGTACACTTTGACATTCGTGGTATTCCTTTTTAATGATCTTCTTGTGCTTGTCATAGTTAATGATGTTTAAAAAAATTAATTTGTACAAGGACTGAATACAGTTACAAAATTTCAAAACATATCACGTGTTTTTAAAACAATCGTATCGATTAAATCGATTAAAAAATCGCACATTATATTACGTACGGATTTGACGAATGATCTGTACTAATTGTTTCCACATGGGAGAAATAAATTGGTTTGAATGTTCAACCAAAACCCTTATCGACAACGTGAAAATTGCTAACTCTATTCTTCAATAATCAAGACCATGTAGTTATATCTGTGCTATCTCTACACAGTTGGGTAATGACAGCTTTGGGTAACTAGAAGATTTCTAAGCTTACGCCCCGAGGATGGAACAATGTATGTTACTAATGTATAGTCAATTAAAAAAAGACCAAGCCTTTTTTATATTAAGTTAATGCATTCTTTTGAAAACTCTCAAGTATTGTCTCAAACGTTCGGTTAGTTCATGACGACAGAATAAGGAAGATGTGGCTACGAGCCAACAAAATTAATGGTTATACATTTAAGTGTTTAAGATAAGTTAAATGGATTTTTTTTACTTCACTCGCTCGTGTTATCTCTGCTTCTTCAATCGATTGGAGCATGAAAGACAGTCCACATTCGTATGATTTTTAATTTTTGATAGGTCTTCGAATCACTTTTCTATGCCTTCCTTTCCATAAGTACTTCGTAATAGTATTGTACTTATGTTAAATACTAGACTTTTCGTTCTTGTTTTTTAATAATTCTGCATGATATTCGAGTTATTGGAATTCATCCTACTTATTTTAGAATTGAAAGGCCTCCACTCTTCTAAATATTCCTAATCGATTATTTACTCTTGATGACACTATTATGTACGATTATGACACTCAACTGAAACATCGTAATCACTACCAAACTGAAATCCATAAAACCTACAAGTTATTCAATGTCTATTATTGTAACTGAATGTGTTATAGTATTTTACCAACATTTCACTGAAAAATACGCGACCATTTTTTAGACACGGCCGCTCCACAATCTCTGCTCAAATTTCATCTGAGTACTTTTAACTTTCTGAGTAACCTACTATGTTTGTACGTACTCAAGTTTCCAGACTAATTCCAACAATTTTCATCCAATTCAGTTCAAATTTTATAGATAATTATTTCCTAATACTGAAAATTTATAGATGACATTTGTTTCGGTTATCTAAAATGTAAAAAACTAATGCCAATATTAATAAAAATATTATTTTTGAATGGATTGTTTTAAATTCTTTTCCACGTACTTAAGTGTTCATTCATATTGTAAAATCAAATAAAGTTGTAATAATACATCACTGCTATATATAACATTTCAGGACAAAAATTTTTTTGTGTTGAACTATTTTGTAAAATAAATTCTTAAAAACAACTGTAAAAGATGCGTACACACGATGTCAACGTCATGGAATAAGAAAATATTTTCATAGGTGGATACTATAACTGATAATAATAGAAATACAGCTATTGACGTCTTTGGAAGATAGTGAACTAATTTTTTCGTAAAAATACTTTGAAACTGACGGAATCTGTTGTAATAACACAGAGAAGAAATACTATCTGCAATAGTTTAACTCTGTATGTAAAAAAAAATTACTGCACAAAAGGTAACTTGAACAGTAAACTATGCGAGCAACTGTCTAGTTTTTTTTTTTGCATATTTTTTTTCATTGGCAAATGCTTTTTCATCAGCTAATACATATTATACGTATATCAAGCGCCATATTTTTCTCAAATCATTTAAGAACTAATCAAAGTTTTTAATTCGAAACTATCTATACTTTTTTATGAAGCAAAATTTTTATTTTTCCTGTTTTCTCGAAACCCACACATTACTGGTGTGTGTTATCGTATTATTACATAATAAGCCCGCATCATCTTCGCGATTTCGCAATTGTTTACCTTGTTCGGCTGGTTATTCGAGAAAATCAATTATACAAAGCAAGAAATAATCTTCAGCTCGAGCATTACTTTAGCAACCAATAATTCGCCTCACATTGAAATATCTCGCCTCTCACAGTCGATGGCTTTCGACGAGCCGTTGATACGTTTCAGATTATACCACTCGTCTGCAGTTGTTTTTTTTTCTCTCCACGTATACTTTTGAAAGTATGTTGCTGCTTATCGCTTGCATTTGTGTCTCATTCGACGGATTCAACTTTGCTCTGGCTCAAAAGACTTACAACGGGTATTTCATTTTAATAAAAAAAAAATTCAATTTATCATGGTATATGGCTGTTTGTAACCCTTTCGATTTATTTATTTATGCGCGTAAACTTGATTTTTCTTTTAGGTACAAGGTGTACAACGTGAGCATCGATACGGACCAAAAATTGCACTTTATTCAAAGCTTCGAAGATACGGATGGCTACGATTTTTGGCTACGACCCTACCCATTCGGTCACTTCCATATTATGGTAACACCTGAACTTCAGCCAGGCTTTGAGCAGGAACTGAAAAGCAAATCCGTTGAATTTGAAGTAAGGATGCGTTATTAAAGTTGCAGTGAAATTACGATCCTTCAAAGTTTTCACAAAATCTCCAAAACACGTAATTTATCAAAATCGAAGGTGCTTCATGACGACGTGGGCTTGTTGTTGGAGAAAAATACAACCGTGCACTCGTCAAAACGAAAGGTCAGATCTGTATCACACGAAGAGAAAGCAGCAGCTGAATTTAACTTCCAGTATTTTCCACGTTACGATGAAATCGTCAAGTTTATGGAGAACCTTGTGCTCAACAGATACGCGAAACTCATAAATATTGGCAGCAGTGCCGAGGGACGACCAATTTACGGCATTGAAGTATCAAAATATGCAAACAATCCGGTAAGATTATTTTTTTTATAGAATATTACGTCCAAATTGCAATAAACACTGTCTAAAATACTTTTGTTTTGACATTATTATCGAAGACAAACTATTTAATTTAATTCGAAAAGGCCAATTCTTTTCTTCCCAAGTAAAAATATTATCTTACCCATTAATCATAGCTGATAAAAACCGATTATAAGAAATAACTAAGTCCAAGTTCAAGAGTCNTAATGATTTATTATTATTAGTTTTCATTTTTCATTATGAACAATTAGACGAATGAAATAATTTTCGCTTGGGCAAAAATATACACACACTCAACTGAGAAAATCCATTAAAGGATCGTATAGCCAAGCTCGTAGTCGAGAGAGCCAAAGAATTCAGTGGCACGGAGTACAAATACGGCAGTGCAGCGAGACTTCTATGTGAGTTGACATTAATCAAAATAGTAGTTTTCGTCGGATAAGTGCCATCGTCTCCAGGGCTATTTTGCGGCCCAAGGGACCTGCGAAGCAAGGCCCGAGGGACGTAAGGTAGCCCCGAATGGCACTTGTGTACCAAACACTGTTTTTCCTACCGAGGGCACACAAGCCTCTCAAAAACGCCCGAGGTAGGAAAAGTATACTTTACAAATAAAAAATTTCGTAAAAAAATAGTTTTTTTAAACAAATGATTCAAGAAAAAAAATCATCCTTAGCATTTTTATTAATATTATTTTTATTATTGTTATCATTATTACTGTTATTTTTGTTGTCATTGTTATTGTTGTTACTAAATATAGGTATTTTTAATTGATGCGGGTACGCATGCACGCGAATGGGCTTCACACGTGTCAGCACTGTACATTATTCAGCAAGTCATTGAGAACGAAGAGGAATTTGCGAACAAATTGAATTTGGTCATCATCCCCTGTTTGAATCCTGATGGTATACTATTAATTTTAATTAAAAACAGAAACAATTTTTTTTTAATCTATATAAGTAAATACACTGAATGTAAATCAAAAAATGTTGAAATAATACATTACAGAAGTATAAAATTAATATTTTCTGAAAGGGAAAATTCAAATCGCCAATATTAAAATAAATTTGAACGTCCAATAATACTTGCATCTTGAAGTGACTACCTTGTTTAGCTAAACAATGTACTGAAAACAAAAAATTAATATCTTATATTTTACCCTCGTGTGATCTCACCTCTATTCACCTTGTGCGTAACTAATTTCAAATAGCGCTCCCATTCGACCACCACTTGTAAAATATTAAATATGTAAATATTCTGATATCATGCTAAGCAAAATCAAACGATCACTATTCAGCCACAGTCTACGACTCACCATTTCATGCTTTAATATACTTTAAAGTACCAAAGAAATAAAAAATTTTTAAAATAGATCAACTATCAGGATTGAAAAAAAAAATTATTACCGGAATTATTGCGTAAAATAAATATTTATCAGGCGTTAGCCATTTTGCAAAAATACCCTCTTACTGTAATGTCCTATTAAAGAGTGTAAGCTTCAATGAACTCTACATGATTAATATTTTCTATCAGGTTATGAATATACTCACACAACAAATCGTTTCTGGAGGAAATCAAGATCGCAGCAAAGTAATCGCATGTGTCCTGGTGTCGACTTAAATCGTAATTTCGATAGCCATTTCGGAGGTATGATTCTTTTAATTTACATGTAAGTACATCTCATGAATATTTCAAATACAAAAAAGCACCTGTAAAAACATAGATAGAAGGTATTTTTATATGCTCCTTGGCTTCAAATGAACGTTGATTATAAGTACTCAATCATTAATATAGTTATTAAAAAGAGGTATTATTTGTGAAATGCAGAGTTTTAAAACAAAATTTGATTGAGTTACATATTTACTTTGTGTTTAGGGGACTATTAGAGATGGAGTTTAAAATGGCTAGTTACACAATTAGATGTACTATTTAATGACAAACTAGTAATACCAATTTTCAAACAGTAAAAATATTTTAAAAAATTAATGAGGACAATAACATAAAATAATAACGTAAAAATAAAGATGAAATAAACTAAATTAAAATACAGATGAAAATTTTTAAAAAAGATATGGCCTAAACAAACAACTACCGATTAAGTACCTACAACTCAACTCAACTGTCAACGAGTATTTTTTTTTTCAATATTTTTCTTACTTTTTATTTGTAAATACTTTACTTTACATACTTTATTTCCGAATATCTTCCATTAGAACAAGCTACAATGACAAGCGTTCCATTTTTATTACTATTATTATTATTTTTTTATGCTTACTCACCACTAATAACGTTTTTTATAAAATTTCATTAGTATATAGTATGCTCTTTGAGTAAAATTTAAGTGAAAATGAAAAGTGAATGTTTTATTTATTCATCGCATCGTACACACTTTAGTGCGTTGAAATAATGTACTTCGATTTGCAATAACATATGAAATATAATTATATTACCCAAATAACTATAAGTACACAAGCTTCAAGACATGCAACGCATAGAAATAGTGATTTTTCCTTTTTTTACAGAGTTTCGTTCTGACACGAGTAACGTGTGCAGCCGATTGTTTGCGGGAAAACGAGCTTTCAGCGAACCAGAAAGTGCAGCCCTTCGTGACACAATATTGGCGTACAAACCCATCGCGTACTTGAGTATACACAGTTTCGGGGGTTATCTGCTCTACCCCTATGGCTACACCAAAATTCTACCGCAGAACTGGCAGACTTTGGTAACTACTTTTTTATACTATTGTAAATGGAAAAATTTTCTAATCAAACCACTCAAACGAAAATTAAATTGATGAATAATTAATGATAAGTTATATGAAAACCGATGGTAAGAAAAAATTAAGTCCAGACTTGAGACTGAGAAGAAAATTTAATTACTATTGTTACAAGTTATTATTTTGTTTTATTTTCGTCATAAGTGACGTATTGGAAGATACATGAAAAAATAAAAACCCATAATAAATATAACAAATTGAAAATAACTGAAAATTATGGTTTATAATCTATAATATTTATTATTAATCGTTTTTTAATTTAAGAGCAACTGATCAAAATTTTTAAAAATTATTACTAATGTGCAGGAAATGATTTGTTGCCGTGATTTAATAAATGAATAAAACTAAATTTTTCGATTTAATATTCATAATAGAATTAAAAAAAAGATAGTAACCAATAATATTTATTAGAAAGATACATTTTATGATAGTCTCATATTCTGGACTTAATGATTTGTTATTATTAGTTTTCATTTTTCATTATGAACAATTAGACGAATGAAATAATTTTCGCTTGGGCAAAAATATACACACACTCAACTGAGAAAATCCATTAAAGGATCGTATAGCCAAGCTCGTAGTCGAGAGAGCCAAAGAATTCAGTGGCACGGAGTACAAATACGGCAGTGCAGCGAGACTTCTATGTGAGTTGACATTAATCAAAATAGTAGTTTTCGTCGGATAAGTGCCATCGTCTCCAGGGCTATTTTGCGGCCCAAGGGACCTGCGAAGCAAGGCCCGAGGGACGTAAGGTAGCCCCGAATGGCACTTGTGTACCAAACACTGTTTTTCCTACCGAGGGCACACAAGCCTCTCAAAAACGCCCGAGGTAGGAAAAGTATACTTTACAAATAAAAAATTTCGTAAAAAAATAGTTTTTTTAAACATACCTTTGGGCTGAAGATTTTTATCTTCTTTACATTCTAAGTTCTATGGTTGGAAAATTCAGAAATAAAAATTAAGTATCGCGTAACACATTTTCTCAAGTTTTCTTAGTACTTTGGTCCAACAAAACGTTAAGAAAAACTGTTTTACTTGTTTTGGCCCACAAAAATATTTTTTTTTAAATACATACTATGCTAAAAAAATGTTGATGATTATATATTGTTATGTTTTATTAATTTTTATGTAATACTTATTGACTTAAATAACTTTTTTAAAAAGGTGTCTCACTCGCAAAATCATGACTTTCATTATTTTTTCACAGACAAAGCTTCAGGAGCTTCAGACGATTGGGCGATGGATAAAGGAAACGTCTCTCTTGTTTTCACAATAGAATTGCCAGCTTACAGCGACAGAGCGTTTATAGTGCCAGAAGACAAAATAATGACATTGGTCCAGGAAACTTTCGAGACTTTCCTTGCCATGTTCAATGAAATTTTCAATTATACCAAAAGCTATACATTTAGTAGAACTTGAATCTGTTTTGAGCATTGAGGATTAAATATTGACATTTTTTTAATTTCACGTAACATAATTTTATTCATACCAGTTTACATAGGTATATTTAAGAAGTCTGTTAACTCACAAAGTACATTTTGTGCTACCCCCATTATTCAAATTATTTTTTTTGTTTTTTTTTTTTATCTGAGACAAAAATTTCTCCTCCGATCATCTATTGTTAAATTTTAAAACAATGAAATTTTATACTCGAAAAGTGTACACAATCAGATTTTCCTACTCAAAATTTTTTTTTTTTATTCTAAACAAAAGATAATCATTATAGCTAATTTTTCCAACAATTTGAGTAAATCAAATGTTGTTATTGTTTAATTTTTCTGAAAAAAATGAGCATATATCCTTAATGGTATAATATTTTTTTATATTGGAAAAAAAATAAAATAAAAAAGATCGATCATAGCACGGTAATTCCACCACTTACTTAATTTTAATCAATCATTTTTACTAAACGTAGAATTTGCTATTAAAGTGGTGAAAAACTAATTTGTTGAAAAGCATATAGCATAATTTGAAAAGCTTTGGTTTTCAAATTACCCATGAGGTAATGTTTTTTTTTATTTTTTTTTTTATTGAAATCAGTTACAGAAGGTTCCGTCGTCTCTAAGATTCTTTGATTTCGTAGAAGAAAGAAGTGAAAATTTTATCAGGTTAAAATAACGGACGAATCTATTGAGTTTTCCTCACTTAGGGGGGGGGGGGGTGCTGGATGAAAGGGTTCTGAACATACTTGGTGCAGGGGGTATGGGGATGTCATGAAAAATTTTTATTGCAGTATACATCTGAGTCAACAAAAAGCGCAAAGTATTTGTAAATAATAATATGTGTGTAATAAAATAATACATTTGAAGTATTAGAAACAATGTTTAAGAAAATGTAAAGTTATATTTATGTATAAATATATTGAATGAAAAAAAAAAATTAATAACTTTATTATTGAGAGTATTTTACGAAACGAGATCAATGAAACAGAGGAATTTGGAAAAACGCAATAATTACATACACTTGTTTTCAACTAAATTGTGAAAATGAAAACAAAAAATATGATACTCTAACAAGCCACTGACGTTCTACTTACCAGGACTTACCTGTGGGTACGGACGGTGAGCTACCACACGTTTTTCAACTGAGCAAACTATTCAAACCGAGCCGCACACTAGACTATACTACGTCACAGGCGAGCCAGAGCACATATCTCTGACAATGGATGCTAGTTTCGGCTATATATACTAACGAAACACTTTTTTCGCCACATGCGGGAGTGATCGGAAAACCAGTGATTAGTATCAAGAACTCATCGGAAAGGATTTTTAATGGATGCATCTCTGGGAGTACTCAGTTTTTTAATATAACATCAACTTTGTTTCCATTTTATGCAATTGGTATTTTACAAAAGAGTGATAATGAGAGATTTTTGGTCATTTTTTAAAGAAATTGACACGTCATGCCGCCACGCGGTTGAAGGTGCAGTTACTAGCGAGAGGCAGTGGAGCGCGGGATATTTTAAATATCACCCAATCCAGTTGAGTATTCGATAAAAAAGAACTTTTTTTTATTCTACCCAGTGACATTAAAAAGGATCGTCTTAATTGGGACATCCTTAAATACGTAGTGTCATTTGCATCTCTGTAGCTGTTGCCCAACATAAAAAAAAAATCCAAGCTTTTTAGAGAAAAAATTTCTACGTATTAGAAAGTTTTAAATATTAAAAAATCTATGAAATGAAACATGCTGGTTTAGGATTCGTTGTATGTTTTATAAAAATATTAGAAAATATCGTTAAAAATTATGATTTCCATTCTTAACGTATTTCTTCGATTTCATACGCAAATCACCTAATATTTCGGTGCATGCGTAACTTGTACGTCTAGAAAGAGTGAGTAGAACAAAAATTGTAATTTAGTTGAGAGTAACCGTGCAACTATTCTGGCCGCTTTTTATTTTCAGTGACAAGATTAGGCGCGCCCTTGTCCATTTATTTACTTTGCCACTAAACTGTTAATTAATCCTTTGCACCGTAAGCTCGCTGTACGCTGGAATTAGCTAAGAGAATTTAGTCGCTTGCTGGCTTACGTGATTTATTACATTTCGACCATTAAATTAAAAAAAAAAAAATTTCCATTTTTTTTTTGTGCATTTTATTGTAATAACAATTGTTAAAAAAATCTGCTTGCATGATTAAATTTTTGAAAAAACAAAAAAAATGGTTGTACAAAATAATGTAAATTAATTTTCTAATTCATGAGGGATAGATAGGTCCTACAATTTTTTTTGCTCATCATCTATAGGACTGTCCACTTTTATAGAAATATAGGTCTCACCTTCTTTAAGTATGCAAAACGCACTCGCAGTCGTGAATACGAAGTAGAAAACGTGCCCCACGTCAAAAGTGAAATTTTGAAATTGGCTCCTGCCAATATGCGTTAAATGATATTAAATGTAATTGTTTAAAAAATCGAGTGCACAAACTGTATACTTGATTAATAAAATTTGAGTACTTTTTTGTTGTTTCGTTCGCACATTAACAGAAATATCCGTTGATTATGGCAAAGGGTTTCCCTTCCCGCCCCTCCTCTCTGCCGACTGCAGTACTTCCTGCAGTCAGGGAGACATTAAGCTTACAGTAATGAATTTGAACAGTATGAACAAAGAAAAATTACGGTATATCTAGATAATATCGGAACGAAACATGGACTCGGATTCAGAGACACCAAGCAATGGCAATGAAGAGGGTGAGCTGTCTCTATGAGTCTTGACGAAAATATTACCTCCAATGCCACACTTCAATTTCCCAATATACCCGAAGAATGTCTGGTTGAATTTTCGGATCATGATAGCGACATTGTCGATGACCCGGTGGAAAGAAACATGAGGACTGTTGAAAAGTTTTTCAACAATCTCAAACGCAAAAGAGGAATATCGGAACCAGAACAAAGTCCGGCAAAACAACGGAAATTCGACTCGCAGGTCGGGGTCTTGAACTTTGACTCTCCACTGCTCTTTTCTGACGAAGACGCCTCACCAGTTATATCAAAAACGACACCAAAATCATTGAGGAGGAAAAGTAGTTCGGAATTTTTTAACAAACTTGGGACCAAGGATAAAGTGGATCGCACGGTTTTAAAATGTGCACTTGGCACTATTTGTCCAAACAATGACGTTAGAAGCGCTATTATCCAAGACGTGAATGACATGTCAAAAATCGCCGCGCTTGGATCATATTTGATGGAATTCTTGTTGCATGTGATGGAATAGGGATGCGGTGGCGGCCAAAAGCATTCTTCAAAATGCTGTTTTGGCGTGCGGCCTGCCCCAGGGACCACGAGATATCGCCAGGCCAAAAAACTTTCTCCGCCCTTTAGCCCAGCCCGTCATCACCGAGGCGTAGCGGAAACAGCTGCTCGAGTACGGCTACTAGGACGAGGTTGGTAGCATTGCCATCAAAATGCAATTATCATTATATGATTACTGGCAACTGTCATTTTTACTTTTCAGTTCTCGAGCTAGTGACCAAGCGCCACTCGAATCCGCTCTTCACGGACATAACTACTGCCGCTTTCCCGCGCGAGGCTTCGGCCGTGCAGCAAGGAGGCAGGCAAGGTTCATTTAGGCCAAACCCTAAAAACCGCAATTTTATTGACGAAACAATACAACACAATCAATTAAACGAAACAAACAATACATTAATTATTTTTATAATTTTTATAATTAATACAATACAATAATATTTTGAGAGATCTTTATTTATTAATATCTGTACTTCCACATGCTTCTGTCACGTAAGTATTTTCAAAATCATATTATCATACATTATAAATTCGATATACAGCAAAATCTAATAACTAAATACAACTTTGTCTTCATACGAGTACGTGACACTTGAGCGTCTGAATCAGTTTATTAAAAAAATACCTTTATTCAAAGTTTTATATGCTAATTTGTAAAATTCAAAATGAAAAATAGGATATTACTGGCTTTTGCATGGTGAGTACTTGTAACTTTAACCTAAAAATAAAATAAAAAGTTGATTATTAACGACACTACAAGTCTCAAGTTTCCATGGCCTCCACCGAGTCTACTGGTACATCCAGTGACATTTGTACATCTGTATTGTGATTTTTCTTGACAGAGTACAGCTTCCGTAATGATTCATAACGTTGTAAATCCTACGAGAAATATAAAATAAAAGTTAAACAAACGTTTCAAAACTAATGAAAAAAAAATTGTTTTTAATCCCACCTTCTTTTGTACCGACGGTTGGATTCTGTCGAAAGCAGCGTAAATATGCCGCGAGCAGATCTCGGGCGTAGTGGGCAGGTCGCTTATGATTTCGCGCAACACCTCGTTTCCAGCTTCTTTGACCAATGCCGCGAGATCGGCTCCAGTAAAGCCGTTACACCTGTTGTCGTTCGCCACGATCTCCAGATCAACTTCTCGGGATAACTTTGGCTTGGTGCCGTTCTTTGTGACTGCCCGAAGAATGTCCGCTCGGTCGGTGGGACTTGGCAGACCGACATACAATATCTTGTCCAGCCTTCCGGGCCTCAGTACAGCAGGATCTATGATGTCGGGCCTGTTGCTAGCTGCCATGAGGTATACGTTTTTGCGGCCCTCTATACCGTCCATTTCGGTGAGCATCTGGTTGACGACTCTCGATGTCACCGAGTTGTCATTCTCGGAACGCTTGGGACACAAAGCGTCCAGCTCGTCGAAAAATATGACGCAGGGTGCTGAATTGCGCGCCCGGATGAAACACTGGCGCACTGCTTTCTCGCTCTCACCGACATACTGTACAACAATGGATTAACAATATTTACGTGTTTTTGACGGACACAGCGGTGGTAACGAAACAATTTTTCAAATTACCATGTTAAGCAACTCTGGACCCTTGACCGATATAAAGTTTATACCAGCTTCATTCGCAATAGCTTTAGCCAGCAAAGTTTTCCCGCAACCTGGTGGTCCGCACAATAACACGCCCGAAGGCGTCGTTAAACCAAGATTGGCAAACTGTTCTGAATACCTCACAGGCGCCTGAAAGAGATTCAACATTACATATTATTCGCACGATTAAAAAATTTTTTTTTCCCAAGTAGTTAAAAGAAGTTATAATCACCAAAATTGTCATCTGTAACTCCTGTCTGATATCTTGTAGTGACCCAATATCATTCCACGTGACATCAGGTACAGTCGCGAAGCCCTCTCTTTTGGCCGATGGTTGAACTGTCTTGAGTGCAGCGTCGAAATCACGTTCTTCAACGCAAATCAGAGCCAACTGTTCCGAAGTGAGCGGCGGATCGTCGTGCAGCCATCCCAGCAAGTCAGTGAGCTTGCTAACTGGTTCTTCTGTTTGTGTAATTTCTTCAAGTACTTCAATCATATTTTGAGCTGGTTCAGCAGATGCTGAGGTTGCAGCCACTGCTGGTGTTACTGCTGCTGCCGTTGGTGCATCCACTACTGATTTATTTTCTGAAGGTGCGAGTTCGTCGGTTGAGGACGGTTTCAATGTTTCACCTGGTGTGTCAGCTACTTCTTTCACAGGCTTCACCACGTCCGTCGACACCGAAAGCGTTTGTTCACTGCTTGGTGTACTGTCAGTAGATGACTGTGGCTCAGCTGTCTCCTCTAACTTCTTTGGCTCCTCCGTCGTACTTGTCGCTGGTTCGTCTGAAATATACGATTTTCTTCATGAAATATATGGGTCTTTCAAGGTATTTGTGAGAAAATTGAGTGAAAATTGGTAAATGATTTACCTTCTGTTTTTTCCTTTTCTTCTGTAGTTTTGACTGCGTCGACCTTGACAATTGTATCATCGTCCTCGATAATGACATCCGTGATGTCAAGCTCTGCAGGTTTCTTTACCTCCTCTTCCACAAGTACGTCGTTTGCTACTTCATTGTTATGTTCTGCGATGGTGGGAACATTCTTTTTCATATCTTGAAGTGCTCTATTCACTGCTACCATTACGGCCTCTCTGACGAGTGCTACCAAATCGGCTCCAACAAAACCAGGCGTCAGTGCAGCGATATTCTGCAAGTTTATCTCGGGAGAGAGTCTGACTTTGGAAGTGTGAATTTGCAAAATAGCTAGGCGAGCCTCTTTGTCGGGGATGCCTAAAGACACTTCTCTGTCGAATCGACCAGCTCTGCGTAAGGCTGGGTCAAGAGACTCGGGACGATTTGTTGCACCAAGAACCAATACTCGATTTCCCTTTTCCTTCATATTCAGTTCTAAAATGAGCAATATTTAATGTGATAAGCCTCAAATTAATGTACAGCAAGTACAGAAACAGCATTCCTCACCATCCAAGCACAAAATCAATTGGGAAACTATTCTCTTTTCCATTCCTCTTTGAGCGGTGGCTCTATCTGAGATTATGGCATCGATCTCGTCCAAAAATACGATGCATGGGGCAATAGCGATAGCTTGATCAAACAGATCTCTTATTCTCTGTTCACTTTCACCAGATACACCTGAAACCAGTTCGGGAGCTGCAACTTTAAGTAGTGGTACTTTCAGTTCCTAAAAAACGTCATGCACATGAATAAAATGTTACAAGTACATACCAATATAAATCATTCAAAGTAAAATATTAATTGTAGCATCTCAGTGTATCTCATGCATTAAGATTACATGATATTAGAATTCCACTGGACCCGATGTTTTCGTTGCACTTCATAAGATTAACGTTAATTAAAACAGAGGTTGATATTAGAAAATAAAACGTATGGAAATAACTTTATAGTACAAGAAATGCTGCTTTACGCTAATGGCTAGAAAAATTTTTTAAACACTAGATTTTTCGGACGCAAGAAAAAATAATGACACACTAAGCAAACTTTACCCCAGATATTGCATGAGCAAGCAGAGTTTTTCCACAGCCAGGTGGACCATGAAGGAGAAAGCCTCTTGGCGGTGGAACTCCAAGGTTTTTATAAACTTCTGGGTGTTTCAAGTGTAACAAAAGGTTAACGATCGTCTCCAAAATTTTTTCAGTGCCACCAACGCTTGAAAAATTGAGGTTTGACTGTGTGATGGAAATGTCTTTATACTTTTTTCTCATTGATTCAAATTGAATATCATGTTCCTTATCTCTGGGTCTCTTTCGCGATTTCTCTGAACGGTTAATTCTCGATTGTAGTACGGGACCCATTTGTTGGGACTAGAAAAAATGAATTACAAATTAAAATTTAAAACAAAAATCGAAATTTAAGTAATACCAATATACCTGTGCAGACATTTGCTGAGACCTTTCATAACTAGGGCTCAAATGCGGCCTCTTGGCTACCTGCATATCCAGATCCATTGGATCTCTATCAGGAAATTTAAAAGTCGGGGCAATTTTTGGTTGATCGTCGTCACTGCTAATGTCAATCAACTCTTTGTCACTAGTGTTACCATTTTGCCTGCTGGTCATTTCTGCCTGGCGCTTGTAAGCCTGCATGTATTCGCTAGGCATAGAATCCACCTGTACATCAAGTTCTTTAATAAAAAAAAAAGACGTATGTCAACTTGGAAAAATGTAGTCTTAAGATACACTTACTTCTATATTAATATCATCATCATCATCATCTTGCCAGTTGCTATCTACCTGTCTGGTGAGATTTTCTGTTATTTCATCATAGGCACGACGCACCATTGCTCTAAATGGGGTGCGTTTCTTATTTCTGTAATCTCGATACGTTGTCTGAAGCTCATCTGACATTCGGTCCACGCAGACGTACACCTCATTTTCATGGGCATACAAGTACTGGAATTGAACAACAGTGATTAAACGAAATCGTACAACTCGTTGTAATTAAATTTAGTTCCCAATTTCAAGAAGTTTATTTTCTCATTGTTTCTACTACTCTCTGTTCAACAAGCTACCAAGTACTTCTAGGAGGAATCATACCAATATGATTTACCAATCATTAAATGTATTTTACTAATAGCAGTATACAAGTTAATTGGTATGTATATTTATAGTATAGCACCAAGTGCCGTGAGAGCATAAACATGTTTCAATGCACCCATGTGTGTTGACTCTAGGTTAATAAGCTTGAATTTGTATACATGCAACAATACAACCGTCAAAAAATGAAAAATAACGAAACACTATTGGCATCTAGCCATAAAAACGAAACGGAAAAAAAACAACAATCCGGCAAAAGTGCGTTTGCAAACAGTGTGCACCGCTTACCTGTTTGACCCTGGAGATGAGCACAGGATCGCGGACCGGGCCATCGCCACTGGGCCTCGGCCTGTCAATCGTTTTGCTGGCACACGACAATCCCACGACCCCACTAACGCCGGGCCCAAGTAGCCGCTTGTTGTTGCTCGCGTCCATGCTTTGCTGCAGAGGTATGATGTCGATCGACGAATTAAGTTTCTCCAGCCTGTGCATCCTCTCCGGGCGCGTGCAAGTCGCGAGAGACACCAGCCGAGGACAGAGCCGGCTCTTCTCTCTCTATCTGTCTCGCGCGTGGGCTTTTTTTTTCTCTCTCTGGTACACACACTACACGTAGGTACTCTCTCTTGCGCCGCGCACTTTCTCTTTCTGTTGGATGCAGCAACAAACCTTTTACAAAGAGAAATTATGTGCGAATAAAAGAAAATGATGCAGCGATTATGGCGTGTCGTTGAAAAAATATGACCAAGTATTCCTGTTACTTTTGTGCCGAAATTGGAACTACTGGAAGGCAAAGGCGCGTCACTCTTTTTATATTTGTCACACGCAACAATGTCCGCTTTGTAGAAGCGCGATTTATATCTTTCCTAACATAACCTGCAATTTGGGCGCACAATGTAACTTAAAGATTGACTACGGCTGCGCTTACATGCAAATATTATATATGGGACCATAATGGGACACGTCTCTAAAAAGTGTAAGAGATGGTTTTAAAAATCTTCCCGACGTAACGACACCATGTAAACACACCCTGATAGGTACCATTGAGCGGATTGCGCCGTATTTCTTTTGTGCTCGGCAATTCGGCAAAGGCTCGTCACCTTCCTATAATGGGAGGGTAGATTTATCAGAAAAGACTCCTTATAATTTATATTTTTTTTCGCTGTCATATTATCTGACCCAAATGAAATTGAGAAGCCAAAAAAACTCAAAATATCCTTCTTCCCTCGTTAAAAGGACCCATAATATGGTTTCACAAGGACTCACCCCTGAACAAATTTCAAAAATGACCAAATTAGATGTAGAAGTCAAAGAAATGCTAACTGTAAGTTATCTAATTAAATTTTTAGGTAAACATTAATAATATATTTATTTCAATACAATAACTGTTTTTCTTTTCCTGTAGATGAAAACACCTGGAAAACCCAGCATTTACGTAGATGAAAGAAAAACGAAAAAATTAATTTTCGCAAATTAGAAACAGCCCTTCAAATAGTTGGGTATGAGCGAGACGTGGTTTACCGTATCTCTGGAGCTCCTCACAAGGTCATCAATCTTTTTTAAGTATGCCTTGTATTTTTAATTGTTTAATTAAATCATAATCTTTCTATAATAATATTTTAGATATCTTGCCAACCAGGCAATGATGAAAGCAAAATTTTAAAATAAAATTAAGTTTTAGTATATATAACTATATTTCCTACAAAATTCATTTTAAGTGTGTACTACACCGGTTGGATAGCAAAAGTGAGAATAACCAAAAATCTCATTCGCACCCATATAACACACGATCTTCACAAAGAAAATTACAAAGTAAATCAGTCATTAAGACATTAAGACATTAAATAATTGAGGAAATTTTTTTTTTTTGTGTAATATATAATTTTTTTACATTAATCTGAAAAATGTGTGTTAAAGATATCATATTTATTAACGAATAGCTTTAATAAAAAATGTTGATTGTCATGAGTTCTAAAAAATGCAAAATAAAAAATTTCGGTTTTAGGAGACTTGTACCAACCTCTATGTGCAGTTTTAAAAAAGCCCCCGTTTACTCCGATTAGCCCCTCTCTCGGGCCTCTCCCTTCAGTCCCTTCTGATAGCACACTATGAAACGTTACCGTCATAAAAAACGTGACGCGCAACCTAACCGCGAATTATTTGTAAAATAAGTTACAACACTGGGTCATTCCTCAATAACGAAATTTACGTTTTTTCTTCATCAAAAATACTTAATTTATTCTTTGATTAGAAAAATATAAATGTGGTAACATGTTACACAATAGTTATGTGAATAGAATTAATTCAAACATTTAAATATGTATTCAAACTTTTGTGATCGATATCCAGGTACACACTCCACTTGTTTAGTGCATTTCTTTACTTTTGTAAAATTTACAGCTTTTTTGGTTAAACTGGTTCAAGGTTAAACTAATCTTATGATAAATCTTGTAACAAAACCTTATGACGTTTTGCAATACATAAGGGGTAAACTTTACAAAAACTAATTTAGATTTTTGTTTTTTTTTCGTAAAATAGTGAACTTAATGCATCTCGTCCATTTTTGTAATTCAGTCTTTAGTACTGAAACTAATTGAAATAGTTAAAAAACTAAAAATTGAACGATCAGACAGTAAAAAAGTCTTAAGGAACAAAAAATTAACTTAGCAAATAAATTAACGAATGATCTTATATCAATAGTAACTGTAAATATTTAAGTACAACAGCCAGCTTCGACGTGTATTTTTTTCTTGGAACTTTTTGAGGAGATATGTTTTCTTGACTCAGAAGTCGGAGACACTTTTAGTTTTTTACTACTTTTTTTTGCTGGTGATGAGTTCGTAGAGTTAATATTGGTATCGCTGTGTGATCTTTTCAGCGATGACCTAGGACGATTTTCCTGACGACTTTTTACTGGAGTTTGTCGACCCTAAAATGAAATTTAACTTAAAATACAAAATTGTTTCATTAAATAACATCCAATTCTTATATTATTTGAAAACTTACAGAATTTTCCTTTGATTTTTGAATTTCATAGGGTGACTTTCCTACCATTATATCGAAAACGTCACGCACTGATTCAAAAACCGTGTCATAATCGACATGGCGATACTCTTTGTAATCCCTTTTGAGATGATTGGCTGTATCAGTGACTGTTATCGTAACACCAGGCTTTTGTTTCATCTTTTCTGCATACTGTAAAATAAAAAAAACCATTCAATTAATCAATTCGATGAAAAAATTGTTACAAAAAAGTATGATGTATTAGCACCTTCTTTACTCTAGCCATCAACACTTGATCTACGGTAAAGTCTATCACCTCAACACCACTGTCACACTTTTCTGTCTTTTTTGTTTTAACTATGTTATCTCTACGATCTATCTTTTCTTTTTTCACAACCACTTGCTTAGGTTCTTCGTGTCGCTGTTTTTTTTCTTCCATACGCTCTATAGAGTACATCTTTTCCAACTTCTCATACCGCTTCATATGCTGAAAAAGACATTCATTGACATTCATTTGAATTGATTTTAAGTGTTAAACAGCAATAATTGACATGTATTATAATCATAAATACCCTTACCTTTCTTTTCACTGTCGGTTTTATTTTTTTAAGAGCCCTTTCAAAGTGCCTTGATTGAATGATGCTCGATCTGATTTTACCACTTATCTTGTCACGGACGTACTCTCTTCTGGCTTGCTTGACGAGTCCCTTGAGATCCGCTCCCGAGAAGCCTTCGCACCTAACATCATCAGCTATGCTTCGAAGATTGATTTGTGCAAGTAGATAGTGGGAACTACCCTAATATCCAAATTAAAAAAAAAAAAAAAAAAAAGTTTACAAGTGTTCTGAATGGAAGTAAAAAGTGGTAATTTTTTACAATGACTAAAACAAACTCACTTTCGTCAATGCTGACAAAATATGATATCGATCTCTGGCTTTCGGTAGACCAACATACAGGATTTTGTCAAACCGTCCACTCCTCAGCAGTGCTGGATCAATTATCTCGGGTCTGTTTGAAGCTGCCATGACAAAAACATCCTTACGATTACAGACACCATCGAGTTCAGTAAGCATTGCATTGACAACTCTCGACGTCGCGTTACCGTCGATCTCGGATCGTTTTGGGCACAAGGCGTCAAGCTCATCAAAGAAAATTATGCATGGAGCAGCGTTACGTGCTCGGGCGAAGCACTTGCGCACGTTTTTCTCGCTCTCACCGACGAACTACAAACATTTTAGATTATCATTCATTAGATCGACGAATGTCAAATTAAACTGAATCTTGATAATTACCTTGTTCAGAAACTCTGGCCCCTTGACAGATATAAAGTTAATGCCAGCTTCGTTAGCCATAGCTTTGGCCAACAGAGTTTTGCCACAACCTGGTGGTCCACATAACAATACACCAGTTTCTAGTTCTGAATCTTCGTCGTACATTTCAGGGTACTTGACAGGTGCCAAAATGTCTAGTTGCAATTCCTCGCGAATATCCTGCAGAGATCCAATATCGTCCCATGAGACATTGGGTACTGAGACAAAGCCTTCGTCTTTCTTAGCTGATGGCTTCACTACTTTAAGAGCAGCCTCGAAATCTTGTTCTTTAACTTTTAGTTTCATCAATTGATCAACCGTTAGAGACTCGTTTAAGTCAGTTTCCCAGTCGATAGATTTATCAAAATCATCGTGAAGAACTCTAGAATTGAAATGTAGTGTGACGGTAAGAGTATAAAATGAAAATAATTTGCAATAAATTTTCAAAAACTTGCCGCTCTAGAGCTTTATCCTCTGCCTCGTTGATAAGTTTATCGAGCTCGGATGCGACGTAGCCTGGAGTCATCTGGGCGATTTTTTCCAAGTTTACTTCTGGAGCAAGCTTCACTCCTTTCGTAAGGATTTTAAGGATACTTGTTCTAGCCTCCTTGTTAGGTATTGATAAACAAAATTCTTCTTCAAAACGTCCGGGTGTACGTAATGATTGATCGAGAGAGTCTAGCTGATCTGTTGTACCCACAACAAGTACTTTGTCTTTACTCTCCGATTGGCTAAGTTCTATGTACGATTAAATAGTTGACATTGAAAATCATGGTTTCCAAGAGTATTGTTAATAAAATTAAATTATCTTACTGTCCAAGCAAGCACACAACTGGTGGACGATTCTTTTCTCCATTCCTTTTTGAGCATTTTCCCTGTTAGTAGCTAATGTATCAATTTTGTCTAAAAACAAAACGCAGGGAGCAATAGCTATTGCCTGATCGAATAGATCCCTCAAGTTTTCTTCGCTTTCACCAGTTACACCGGCCACAAGATCAGTGGCTGCTACCTCTAGCAACGGTATATTTAGTTGCTAAAAAATTTTAACAGAAAAGCATGGCAATTGATTATTTGTCTATAACAAGAACGAAAGTTTCATTTAGAATAAAACTTACCCCAGCAATTGCACGAGCCAATAGAGATTTTCCACAACCTGGTGGACCACAGAGGAGGAAACCCCTTGGTGGGCTTTTTTGTTTAAATTTATCTATGATTTCTGGATGCTTGATGTGTTTAATTTTCTTTACAATTTTCATCACTAGCTGTTCATTGCCACCAACATCGTGAAAAGTATTTGTTGAATTTATAACAGGAAATTCCTTTGTCTTTTTTTTCAAAAGTGATGGGGGGACACCAGAGTCGTTATCTCGTTTTTTTGATAATTTTTGTGGCTTTCGAAAAGTTTGGGACTCGTCAGCATTGTTATTTTTAGTCTGAAAATCGATTTTTCAAGTACACTCTGACTCTATGAAATTCATTAAATATTAGGAACCAAAGATACCTGATGGGTTTTATATAATAGAGAGCCATCCAAGGCCGCGTGACTAACATTTATCCCGTTTTTCTCAGAACTAGGAATACAACTTAGATCATTCACTAGTACTTCTGCATCATCCTTATTCGATTTTTTTTGACTCTTTAGGAAAGATTCATCAACGTTCTGAAACAACGTACTGTGTTTATTTTATGAAAATCAAATGTACAAAATAATAAGTAAGCAAGCAATTACCTCAACATCGATTTCACTAAAGTCTTCGCACAGCGTTCTGTTCTGTTCGTTTAGCTTTTCAGTAACTATTTCAAACGCACGACTCACCATGGAGAAAGTTGGACGTGAATTTTTATTCCTATAATTCTTGTACTTTCTCCTAAGATAAGTTGTCAACTTCTCTATATCTACTGTATCTTCATCTTGGTTTTCGTATAGGTACTAAATAAAAAAATATAAAAACTATCAAGTTTTAACACAGAACAATGCTTTAAGTATTTACTTAAAGTGAAAAATGGCGTGCAAGTTGAAGAGAATTATCCACCAAAGGAAACTTAGTTCAATGAAAGAAGATAGTTTAAAAAACCAGAATGCAACAAGTGTTATACGTACAGCTTCGACCCTGGTAATGAGCTCTTTTTCACGCTTAGCTGCAGCATCATCCTCAGAGTCATGTTCTGGATCGCTGTGATCAATGTCTGTTGCTGGAGGCATATCTAAATTCGGGGTCATAATTGGTATTGATCAAATCAATCTTTTATAAACTATTTTCATCTACTTATGCTTCCAAAATAGCAATATTGCACTTTAATTTTCGTCGCGCTATTTCACTCGACTCTGAACACAGGAGTTCTTGGAACCAGCCTTAAAAATACAGTTCTATGAGTTCTGTCGCTCTTCGTTACAAAGTGTTAGTTATTACCTACTTACTTTACATGCTCAAATACTTACTCGTTTTTGTTTTTTCCTGAAAAAGAAAGCTTTCGACCTTTGGAAGTCTCGACACGTGTGGACTTGTCGACCGGTGCTGGCGGTATACTGGCTTAGTGCCTCACGCACTGACGCACGTGTGTCTGCGACTTTCTCACTTCAAGAGCACGGGGCACGCACGATGATGTCAATACTCTGTTAATAAGACACAATTAGGATGTTATGTGAAAAAAAAATTTGTATCCTACACTAGTACACTTTTTCGGTCAAACAGACTACTTATTAAAAAATATTGAACGCGTATGCATTTATTTTTTCGTGCTTACTACTTACATTCAATTTACTCGATATGAATGCGTTGAATATACATCACCATTGGCTGTTAACTATAACGTATTCCGCAAATGCTGCCAGATCAATTAAGTTACGTAGGTCGTGGTAAGTTGGTAACGCCGCATGGTCGGGCAGCGCTAGCGTCAACGTACTACTTATGGTAGCTGTGGGTACCGCACATAGAGATTTCTCTATGGTTCCGCATGTCAACGAAAAGAAAACAGCAAAAAATATCGAAGTTTGTTGACATGCGGCACCGACAGTTAGTATATACATAGGGTTGACGCTATACCGCTGCCCGACCATGCGGCGTTACCACGACCTACGTAACTTTTAATTGCTCTGGCAGCATTTGCGGAATAAGAACAGCCTCTGTTATTATCATGTTATCATTCTGGTAAAGAGAGCACGGTGTACGATATATGTAGAGTGTTATGTGTAGTAATTATAGTAATCACTAATTCTCTACTAAAAGTAGTGCCATAAGGTCGATTTTATTAAACTATGTAAGTATTTATATTTTTAGAGGTCAATTTTTGGGCAGAAGATAATATGTAAACTTGCCGCAAACAGCACAGATCATGTCAACTTTTTATTTTTTATTTGTTAAATTAGTTGCGGCTGGTTTATAATTGATTACATGGCTCTACTATGAGTAGTAATAATAATTTGGATCAGCGCCATCTAGCGGTCTCAATTTTTTGGCCAAAAGTGGCTCCTAAAATTCTCAATCAGACCAATCAGGATTAGAGCCACTTAGTCAATTATAAACCAGCCGCAACTCATGACAAAGCTATAAAATAAAAAAAATAACGATACGTGTGTTTTTGGCGGCAAGATAACAATTTATCTTTTACTGTAAAATTCATCTTAAAAAGTATCAACACATAGGAGGTCAATTTTTTGGTAAAAAATAGATTGTTATCTTGCCGCCAAAAACACACGTATTATTATTTTTGTATTTTATAGCTTCATCATGAGTTGCGGCTGGTTTGTAATTGACTAAATAGCTCTGTGCTCGATTGCTCTGTATCAAAAGTTTAGGGCCACTTTTTGGTTCAAAAATCCGTAACGCTAGATGGCGCTGATCTAAATAACTATTACTATATATTATACATAGAAAATGAAAAGTTTAAATTTTCTGTGTTATCTGCGGCAAGTTTAAAGTTTATCATTGAGCCAAAAATCGACATGTAAAAGTATAAATATTCTACTTATCTTATATGGCTTAAAAAATCGACCACATAAAAGAAAATTACAATATCTCAAGCTTTTTACCATTAACTTACGGAAGTACGGCCCATTAACGTTATAGTTTAAATAAACAGTTTACTTATATGATACGTATTGTTATAGAAATCTTGAAGAACAGTCAATTAACTACTTGAATTTATCAGTCTAAAAGGGATGACAGAAGAAAAAAGGCTCAAAAATGATGTTCAGGGACAAGAAGAGTCTCATAAGAATGGAGCATTTAATTTCACTAAATCAGAGGTGTTTAAAAGATAAAAAGAAAGTGAAAATTCATAATTTTATGTTAAGGGTTTGTGTTTATTTGTAAATAAAGAAAATTTGTTAATTAAACATAGAGCTTTTTTGTTTTACATTTAACAAACAATAAATGTCGATCATACAAGCAGCTCTTAAATCTTATTGTAAGTCTGCAGAAGCTGATCCTACCAATCCTACCTTAATTAATTTTTTAATTGAAATGACCTTGTATGTACACTGTTAAATGATTTTAAATTTTGAATGTTAACAAGTTGTTATATATAATAAATTCATTTTGATTATTCCTCAAAAATAATGTAATGGTTTATGTTTGATTTAAAAAACTTTCAGTGTTATGTTACAGTGCAATGTATCACACATTCATGTTGTGAGGTTTTAATATTACAATAACAAAGTTTGATAACATACAAGTTAAAAGTCTCAACTTGCATCACAAATAACAGAATATTAGAGAAATTTATGAACTAATAAGATTTACCAACGAGAAAAGAGAAACATAAATCTTGATAAAACGTTTGAATAAAGCAATTGTTCAAGTTTTATAACTTTTAATCATAACAGTTGATACTGTAAACATGCATTTGCTCCTTTAAAATTTGGTTTTTCCTTGTTTCAATAAAAATTTGTGTTACAAAAATCTTGAATTACGATCAGAAATATACGTAAATTAATCAGTCGAAAAGAGACAACTGAAGAAGAAAGGCCTAAAAGAGAAGCACAGTCACAGGAAGAGTCTCTTAAGAATGGAGCATTGGATCTTACTAAATAAAAAATACATTTATTACAGATGAGCAAATTTTAAGTCTTATCAATAAACAAAGAACATTCTCTGATTACGTGAGATCCAATGCTCTATTCATAGGAGACTCTTCGTGTGACTGAAACTCTTAATTAAGCCTTTTTTCTTCGGTTGTCTCAAGAGACTAATAAATTCACGTATGTGCTCGATCGTTATTCATGATTTCAGTGACACAATACATATCATATACTTGAGTTAACTGTTGATTAAAACTATAAAGTCAAAGGGCTGTACTGCCTGTGCTTCCATAAGTCAATGGTGAAAGGTCTAAGGTATTGTAAGTTTGTGAATATGGTTGATTTTATAAGCCATATAAAATACTTAAGTAGAATATTTATACTTTTACATGTCGATTTTTGGCTCAATGATAAACTTTAAATTTGCCGCAGATAACACAGAAAATTTAAACTTTTCATTTTCTATGTATAATATCAGTTGCGGCTAGTTTATAGTTAATAACGTGGCTCTACTGCAGTAGAGATCGAGTAATAGTTATTTAGATCAGCGCCATCTAGCGTTACGGATTTTTGAACCAAAAAGTGGCCCTAAACTTTTGATACAGAGCAATCGATCACAGAGCTATTTAGTCAATTACAAACCAGCCGCAACTCATGATGAAGCTATAAAATACAAAAATAATAATACGTGTGTTTTTGGCGGCAAGATAACAATCTATTTTTTACCAAAAAATTGACCTCCTATGTGTTGATACTTTTTAAGATGAATTTTACAGTAAAAGATAAATTGTTATCTTGCCGCCAAAAACACACGTATCGTTATTTTTTTTATTTTATAGCTTTGTCATGAGTTGCGGCTGGTTTATAATTGACTAAGTGGCTCTAATCCTGATTGGTCTGATTGAGAATTTTAGGAGCCACTTTTGGCCAAAAAATTGAGACCGCTAGATGGCGCTGATCCAAATTATTATTACTACTCATAGTAGAGCCATGTAATCAATTATAAACCAGCCGCAACTAATTTAACAAATAAAAAATAAAAAGTTGACATGATCTGTGCTATTTGCGGCAAGTTTAAACTGTATGTGTGGCCGCGATCTAATCCACCGAATTGTAGACAAGGACAAGGTGTACATTGTACAATCACGCGTGCGGTATAATTTAACTATTTTTAGGTATGTTTAAACTATTTATAAACAAAATAATGTAGATAATTTAATTATAAAAACTTTTAATTATAACACGTAATTACTATGTACAGACATAAGAAAAAAAGTCTTGTTCGTAGTAAAAACTGTGCTCATGCTTTGCGTATAAAAGATTATTACTTTTTATTGTGAAACTTTCGATTAAGTGAACAGATACGAAAGTTAGAAAAACAAACGTGAAAAAAATTTTTATGGATGAGAATAGGCTTACATTAGTGTCAGTTCCTTTTTTTTACAATCTAGCTAAGCTGATGCACATATTACTCATGCATTTCGTACGTAATCTGGTAGGTACGTAACGTGAGAAGGCTATATTATGCCGCAGAAAGTTTAGCCTGAAAATCGGCTACTTAATATATAAATCAGTTTCACATACCTACTTACTTATTACGTCGCAAAAAAAACAATCGTTATTATTGAGAGTTTCTTTACAATAGGTTAGTATTATATTTGAGAATATTGATATTATATGCCGAGTTTGGTGTAAAAAAACACCTGAAGGATATAGTTATTTGTATGTTTTGATTTTTTTTTTCGTCCACAAATTCGATGTTAATTATTGCAGAGCTGAATGTACAAAAAGTATACTTGCTACTCTAGGTCTTTTGTTTGACCACATAACCATTTTTTTATTTGATTTTTTTTATTACTGAGTAATGATACAAAAAGCAAATTGTGATTGATAATAAAAAATTGGTGTATGAATTTTTTTCCAGGAATCGCAATAGTTTGCATACAGAGTGGTTATAATGTCTGTTAATGTTTACTTTCCGTTTGGAGTACCAATAAACATTAAATTCACACAGGACACACCTATTTTACAGGTAAAAAAGTTTTAAACACCTTTAAGCTTGTATAATAAATTTTTTTATTTATTCTAAAATTTTTTTACAGATTCTTAAAGAAGCTTGTGGTAAACAAAATCTTAATCCAAGTGAATACGATTTAAAGTAATACTAATTCAAATGAATGGTTATACTTACATAAATGTTGCAAAAAAATGTCATGATACAACTTTCCAACATTGTTTTTAGATACCATAATAAAACCTTGGATGTTAACATGACAATTCGTTATGCTCGAATTGCAAACAATGGAAAGTTAGATGTAGTTAAACGTAACATACCAAGAGCAGTGTCAAATGTGAGAATTTGTGTTCAGTTGGAAAATCGAGAAAGAAAGAATGGTGAATTTTCCCCAGATGTAAATATACAAAAAGTTCTAAGTGACTTAAAAGTAGAGTACGATGCAGAAACAGCTGTTATTATTTTTACACAAAAAGAGGTAAAAACATTGTCTTTAAGTCAATATCGTCATAAGGTTAATTGATTATTATTAAAATTTCTTCACAGATATATAGTAAAGATTTTGAAACTGTAACATTGTTGTCTTTGGGGCTGGGAGCGGGGTCGGCACTCCTTAGACTATTCCACAGAGATCCAGAAAGACCCCGGGAGCAGGCTCATGTGTATGTTCCCCCAACTCCAAAAGTTTCTATAATTGAAGATGATCGTGGGAGAACTGAGTCTGCTGTTGGTGATGACAAAGACCGGGAACCTTCAGTTGCAAAACCCCTGAAGAATCATGCTTTTGATCCTATATGTGCTATCAGGGCAGAAAAAATGGTTCCTCCAAAGGAGAGCCCTGAACAAGCAAAAAAAGTTGAACCAAGTCAAAGTGAAAATGAAAAAAATGCTATAGAGCATACTCGCTTAGAAAATGTTAATCAATCGGAGAAAGTAGAGCCAATGCAAATTGATACTCGGAATGAAGAGAATGCAACATTGATCGTTGAAGAACAGTCCACGCAAGAACCGCAAATTTATTATGTAAGTGATGAAAGTTACCATTAAAAATACTAGAACTGTGAATAAATTCCGCTCTCTTTCTCTCACATAATTAGCTGGATGAAGAAAAACAAGCATTACTGTTTAATCAAGCGGGAGCCCAAGCTATGCCTCAAGTAGAAATTCCAGATGACTTTTTCGACTTGACAGTTAAAGATATAAGGCTTTTGCACATAGACATGCAAAGATTAAACGACCGACTGAAAGAATCTCCCCTGATGACTGAAAAACTGAGAAATCTGGAAAAAGAAAAAAATGTCTTGACAACAATTCATAAGTATACAAAAGCTGTGATAAGAATTTATTTTCCTAATCAACTAGTGCTCCAAGGTATCTTCAGGCCGTTGGAATCGGTACAGGCAATCAAAGATTTTGTGAAAGCTTATCTTGAACATCCACAAACCGATTTTGCACTTTGTAAGTGATAAAATTTTGGAACGTTTTTTTATCAGGGACAGAAAGTATGATTAAAGTATATTGTTTATTATTCTACAGATACAACGCCGCCTCGTTACAATTTGGATTCAGGGAAAAGCTTGTTGGATGAAAACTTGGTGCCTAGCGCCAAAATTTATTATTCTGGTAGTTCTGACCTTAAGCCGGAAATCAAATCGAAAATGACTGATGCCTCTGCTGCCTCTTACGCAGCTACGAAAATAAGGTAAATATGAAATACCTTTGCTTCTTAAGTTCTATACATTTTTTTTAATCATAAAATTGTTGTAATGTATTCATTACAGACTGAAAACGATGCGAAATGATGATGCTTTATTCGACGACTCAGCTGGTCCCAGCAATACACCAGAAAGACATCAGCCAAAACCTCAAAAATCTAGCTCTGATAAAATACCAAAGTGGTTCAAGCCATCAAAAACATAAATATTCAATCGACGCTTCATACAGTTCCTCACAATCATTGCAGAAAAAATGTATATTTCGTTGAATATCAGAATGTTTCGTTTATTGTGCGTTTTACGATTCTTTTCCATACAACTTTTTTTGATAAATCATGTATTTTATTAAACGATTTCATATAATTAGTAAGGATTTGATGGTTGAAAGAAAATAAATAAATTTTTATGTATTTGTAATGAGTTTTATTCTTTATTATAGGGTACTTATTTACAAAAACTTGAATGCTAAAGCGAAATTTTTAAAGTTTTTTTTTCAGTTTTATTTGTTCTTATTGAAATCGAACAAACAACCTACTTCATACTTATATTTGGTTCTGAGAAAAAAATGTATTTACTGAATGCAAATAATTTACACTTAAGTAAATAAAAATTTATTTGTCTGGTCAATTGTTCTAGAGTATTTTACACTAATTAATTAATTATCTTTACAGTAACATGAATAGACATTTTTTTAATGGCACTTTTAGTTGTCTTCAAGATGCAATCTTGTACAATTTTTTTCTCAGAAATTTGCATACATACATAAGTTTCGATTTTGATCGAGCGATTTAATGTCAAATCTATCACAGTTTATCCAAGAGATAAAAAAAATGCGTTAAATGCGTATTCGTGATTGCTCAAGGCTCGAAAGTCATGGAAGCGTTTATATTGCATTATGATTCGTCTCAGCTTTTGTTACAGGTGATTAATTTGTATTCTTTCAAAAATAGCGATTTAAAGCCAATGATTACTTTCAAAGCATCAATTTTCAACTATCATGAATATTATAATGTGAAAACGTTGGTGAAAATTGTATAGTACAATAGAAATGTTTTGGGATTAGGATAATAATTTTTATGTTAGCCTTGCACCGACTCACTCATATATACTACAAAAGAATTCCTGAAGTGCTTACAACTATGTTATGGCAACTATAACAGTAAAATATATATATATATATATATATATATAGTCTTTTAAAAGTTGATATGTTTTTCTCCACAATTTCAGGGAATTAAATAGCAGTTGCGATTTCTCAATTTATAATCACAATTTCAAACTCTGCATCTCAACGCATGACAATATTTGGGCTAGACTATTGTATGAAATTTTTTCAGGAAGAGTATAAGTAGACAGTTTCAAAAAGTATGAAAATGAGTGTGGTCCATTTCATTGGAGACCGCTTATAAGGCCTTGTGATATTTTTTTAAAGTAAGTGTATATATTGCTTCAACATGTTATAAAATTTAATATGGAACTGACAAACAAGAATGGCTTTGAGTTTTCTTACTTCCTGCCCTGAGAACTATGTATGATTAATAATTACTATGAATATAAAATGTAAAAAATTCTATAAACATGCTACCTACTAACTTTATGAAATACTGATAAATTCTAAAAATTTAGTAAAAAAACAATTGGTTTAAAAAAATGTTCAATAATCGCAATTCTTCATTAAAAATTAAATGCAATAATTAAAAGTTACAATCATTTTAAATTTACAGTTTATTACTCGTAGATAATATATTTTCATTAATGAAGTATTAAACGATTCTCAAAGATGTTGAATATCTAAACGAATTTAAGCAATTTTATTGCTTGAGGATCCATAAAATTGTATATTTTATACAAAAACTTAATAAACTATGTTTCGTGTTAAGTATCTAATAATTTACAGTACGGAGCCTCTTAAGGCATCTTTTGAATATTATCTGGTGCTTTAATTATTTTCAAGAAGAAGTTTGAGATTTTTCATAAAGCATTTCTTTAAAAAATGTATACTTCACAACAGCCTAATTTATTTAAGGCTTTGAATGCTTGTTGTGATTAATTTAATTGTGTTTCATAAGATCACATTGTGTAAAAAAACGAATCTTCTTCGAAATAATTAAAATAAGTTCTTACACGATAAAGTTCGGTTGAAAACTTTATGATTTTCCATTATTGTACATTTATGATTATTAATATTATTATTATTAACAAGGCATCGATTTAATAGCAAAAAATTGCTGAAGTTAAATCATTTTACTTTTAGAAAAAAATATTCCAAAAATATTATGTAATTAGACAGATATATGATATGTCGTAATGATTTAATTATTTATACTTTATTATACACACATTGTAATCAAGCTTAAAAAAAAACATTCGTTTTAAAAAAAATCATCTAGTTTCCAACCGAACTCTTGCCAATAAAGTCACTTAGTCTTTTGACTCCTTTAGTGGCACATCTAGTAAATTTTGTTTTAGATGCTTGAGTCTTTCAACAGGCCCGCCAAGAATATTTCCCAAGGGCCCAGAACCTCCAGCTTCTTCTTGTATACTACCTAGTAAATTAGCCTCAACCTCTTCACTATTAGGCACCTGTTGTTTCTCACGACTATTGCTGTCACTAATGAGTTGTTGCTGCAACTGTGAGTCTAATAAACGCATGTATTTGTCCATTTCACCACCTTGGTCCTCGTCATCTCCACCTAATGAACCTTCGGAGCTACCGTCAAATTCACCATCACCTCCTGGCACCACTAAATCGAGAATATCTCGTAGTGCCGTATCAAAAACGTCCGGATCGAAATCAATACGACCATTATCCTCTACATCCACCTTCTCATCGTTTTCCTCTTTATCTCTGAAAAATAAGTTGAAAAATAATTACATCGAAAATTATTTTTTAAACTATTTATCTTACCCCAAGAACTGTACACCTTCAATTCCACTTTTTTGGTTGATAAAGGCTTTAACTTTGTCTTGAAGTCCAAGCGGATTCTCCGATTCCTTGCCAGATATTCCAAACTGCTGCCCGAGCATTGCCTCCAGCTGCGCTGGGTCGACATTCAGCCAACTGTCACTATCCTCGGGACTTAGTGTACACACCTCTTCAGCTAAAAAAATTAATGACCTTCCACGATTAATCAACCATTAGCAGCATCGATCGATCAGATGACATAATCTGATACCTTCCATCTCCATGTCGTTACTTTGAATATCCCTGTAGATTTCGATTAGCCTCTTGCCTTCATTGGTTTCAACCCTTTTGTTCGCTTGGGCCAAATGTCGTTCATAGTATGATTTTGCCTTCACCAGCAGCTCTTCCTTTTCTTTGCTACCTTCTAAAAGTTCGCGAAAGTAACCACTGGCGTCTAGACGTCGAAAAAAGGCCGTCCAAGCCTCCTCGTTTACACAAGAAGAATCACCGGATGACTGCCGATCCCGGCATTTGCGTTCTTCCTCATGCGCTCGAGCTACCAGCATCTCTAGACCACAGGCTATTTTGATGCCGAGAAGATAAGCGTTGTATTTAGGGCTATTAGAGGGTGGAAGGTTCCAACCAGTTCGCGGATCACCTGTGTATCTAGAAAACAAAGTGGTAAAGCATTATGATGTAAGAAAAATTGTGAGGTATTTTTTTTTTTGTCTAAAGGGAACAACATCAAGTTTGCCAATACATTAGTCTTAACAATTTATTTCAAAACAAAAATCTAAATTCAAAATGTAAAATTACTGAAGTCTAACTATATACTCTATGCAAAAACTACTTTTGGAAAGTCTTGCACAATGAGAAAAATATTATCCATCTATCCTTATTAATTTTCACCTGTGTATGAAACAAATAATAAATTACGATCCAATTACTTTTTATCTAACTAACTAGAAGTTAAAAACAAAAGTTATTTAGTCACTTTAATAATACATAATTGTAGCTTTATAGTTCTATAATTAAACATGTACTTTTAAACAATCAAGATTCTTCTTTTTGGATAAAGTAAATTTTAAGTAAGTACAAATTGAGTCAAACAAAAAAACTAGTACTAGTAACATTCTAACGTAGAAAATATATTTACTTCAAAGATAAGCTCTAAGTACTTATTCTAATTCACCAATTCACTTAACAGCTTGTACATACAAATTTACCAAAAACTCACCCAACAGGCTATACCTGCTGATCGGCATTACCCAAATTTTAACCAAGATATATTACAAAACTGTAGAGAATTTTTTCATATTTAGGCGCATAAAGAATATACACAAAAAAAAACAACAAATTAAAAACGTGTAAAAATATTTTTTCATCAATAACTTTAATCCTATTTAGTAATTGAAATAAAACTTTATATACCTGCAATGTACAGCCATGGCATATAAGCACTTGGTCATTTTGACATTTGCCATGACTCTTTGCTCGGGGGGAAAGTATCGCATAGCCCTGCAAACTTTTCTCTCCAAAGGATCCGAATGACCAACTGTTCTTACAGCTGAAGCTATGAGCCTCGGTTCTCTTCTCAGCATATAGGCAGCTTTCTCTGGTAGATAAGCTCTGGCTTTGTGCTTTCTTCTCTCCGTTTCTTCAGGATAAATACTGATCCTTTTTTGAATGGTTGCCTGAACTTTGTCCGACATTTTAAATATGTGGGAACGTTGGTAAACACTGTTCAAAATGTTTATACATATTTTTTGTTTGTCCTGAACAACATGCACAGCACCATTCATAATGAAAACTCGTTCGTGACAAGTTTCTGGAGTAGCCCAGACCGGAAGCACATCAGCTGCTTCGATGAGGAGAAATTCACCATCAGAGTCAACCATTCTTGCGATGAGGCCTTCGTACTTCTTTGTCAGGTTTATTATCAGAAAGACAACAAACCACTCGTCCCCTATGTCTTCATCGAATCTCAGTAAAACGTGTATATGCGGTAGCAATTCAAAATCTGTAACATAAATAAATAGATCATTTGCAATGAATGACATGAAAGAAAAATGGAATATAAAATGAGAGATAAGACAACGAAAATATCACAGGGGACAATGTTCATAAACAAAAAAAATTTATTTGACGAAGTTTCAAAAATCTTGCGCTTGGTAGGAAAAGAGATAAAGGAAATACACACCAGTCGCCCTGGACGATCCCTCGATGACACTGTCGAATTGGAGGGCCTGCTTTGTCCTGGGCTTGAAGCTCAAGTTATCCCTGTGCCACAGGTAGTCCTTGATGAAAGGCTCCACGTCCTTTTGAAACTTGTCAATCTCATCCTTGAGCATACCCTCAGTGACCTGATCGGCAGTCAAGGAGTAGCAAAAACGAGGGTACAGATAGCACTCGAGCACGTCGTCCTCGCGCGGTCTTTTAGCCTGCGTCATCGCCATCCTGGCGCTCTACCCCTAAACTCCGAACCCACAATTTACAGTACCCTAAACTGCACCTATCACTATACACCTCGGTAATTTACCTTTCGATGATCTATAATGACGAAAAAGTTATAATTGTCATCATGTTTTAACGATGTAATACCTATTATTGTTGTCAAAAGACTCTCACCGTCCCGCACCCCCTTTATTTTTTCTAATTCTGAGGTCGGCAAAACATAACCTATATGTAGGTACCTACATCCCTTTTTTGGAGAGAGAGAGACACACCGACCTTAATATATATAAGTGTGTGTATAACTGTATATACATGTCAATGCAGGTTGCATCGTTGCAGGGTGGCACATCGGGGGTGCATAAAGAAGAAGGGTTGGGCTCGCGGGGCGCGGAGGAAAAGTTAAAAAAGAGATATCGTTTTTTCAGCTCCTCTGGTAAATTTTTTATTCGCGACGGGACGTGGTTTACGATCGCATACCTATCCCTGCACCCTCGGCCCCCATATGTTTTTTACGTAAGGATCAACTTGTTTCCGTTGCGGGGCAGGATATTTTCTCCGAAAGCTGGCGTGCAATAAATAATTTAGCTTCAAAGTTTTACGACGCTGACCGAATTTTCCGGCACTGGCCCAATTTTTCTTGCAGACTGCCCGAGTATAGAGTTTTATTATTTCTACTTTTGTTATTTAAATTCAAGAACACGAAATTTAAGATTGTCAACATTAATTAATTGTTGTTACCTGCACTCAAAAAACTAAAAAAAAAACAAAACAAAACATGTATGAGTGTAATTTCTAGTTGACTGTGGTAATAATCACCCAAGAAATAATTTTTTTCTCGACAAACTCGATCGAAACAAGTACGTGCAGCAGAAATGTCCGTTTGGATTTAATTTAACCAAACATTATGTAATTTTAATTGTATGTTCACTGCATCGAATTTCAAAGTAGTAGAAAGAATTAAATCAACTGAACAATTCTTCATACGTTGTTTGATAATTATTTCTAAAAAGATCGACTGCACGTGATGACAAAAAAACGTCTCAAATTGAGAAAATATCAACAAAAAAAATTTACTTCAAGTAGATTTTAATAATGAAAAAATAATAATAATAATAGTAGTAGAAAACACAGATGTTAAAAATAAAAAATTCTTCAAATTTAATGATGGATCGAAATCGTTGAGCTTGCATTCATCAGATTTATCTCGATGGTCAGAATACAACCATTAATGCATTTAATGATTATGTACTGGTTGAACAGGTTTACGTTCATAGAAGGTATATTAGTAACACATGTTTGTAAGTGTGTATGCACATACATCATAAAAGGTTTTTTCTTTGATTGAATAAGTCAATGATCGAATGATCTCGAAATCCTAAATTAAATCCATATTTAAAATAAACGTTTGACGATACAAAAACATGTAGGTATTTCACATGTCGAGGTATGAACTCGCTGATGATTCAAATTGCAAAAAGACCAATATACTCGTGAATAAAAAAGATGTAAAAATTTTCCAGTAATTGTTTCTCATTGAACAACCAGGGCAACGCATTAAAGACACGGTTGTCGATTTTGAAATAATTATTCATAAATGCTTCCATAACAATTGTTTGTTTGATGATAAAAAAAATTCATGAATAGCGCTTCATTCACGTTATCTTGCAACAAAATATACCAATAATAAACTGTGTAAGTATATGATGATGAAAGCAACTATGCGATGAAGCTGGTTTTGAAACTGCTTGCCTTTTTACTTTTCACATTATGCATATGCGAATAATATTGTTTTTGTACAATATGAGCATATAATACACACGTCACCCGCAATCTGTTGGGAAGCTGGATTTGATTTCATCGGCGTCTCCTTGCCGAGGGTGTTCAATTTTCGCATTGATCCGAACACGTACGCAAAGAAAGGGAAAGGCATATTACCTTTGGTTATACAGGTAAAGGAGAAAAAGGAAAGGACTCGAACTTGTTTAGTCCTTGGTCGCTGTGAAAAAAAAAAAAATAAATGCGAGCGGTCTTACCTATACACCTTTCATTCCTTGACCTTGTCCTTGTCTCCTCTTTGATCTCACATATACTCACGCTATTGTACAAGTACACTATAAAATGCGTGCATGCATATGTCGGATCCAAGCAAGTGCGTAAACACACACTTACTGTCAATGGTTGTGAACAAAACGAATTTTTGAACACTTTCATTCTTTATTTCTTACTAATAGTTTTATTTCCCCTGCACCAAGCATATACTAATAGGCCGTGCTTTTACCATTAAAAAGCGCTTGGTAAGGGTGATGTACATTTATATTTAAATAATCAGGCAAAAACTTAGTTTTAAAACTATTTAAATGTGCGCGCTTATGGCTTTGAAACATCCACAACAGTAATTCAATAAATATTAATAAATAATAACAACAACAACAACAAAAATAATAATAATAGTAACAATGACTAGCCAACTAGGAGAGCTTCGCAAGGTTCAAGAATATTCATCGAAAAATTTAGTAAAATATGTCCATTAACTGTCTTGACTAATCGTCTAGTCGCATTAATATTAAGCCTTTGACTTGAAGTTTAATTGCGAAAATTAACATTATGAGTTTGATAATTCAACTGTGATAAAAAATTATTAAAAAATGTGTTTTACTGCTAAATATATGCTATGTATTATTAGATGATAATTTAGAAAAAATTGGAAAAGATTGTAGCTTATTATTCTCGTTTGTAATATTAACTTTAAGAAAGAAAAAAAAAAGAAAATTCCTCTCAGCTAAATTCAATGTCAGAGACTCAAAGTTTTCAATTGGAATCCGAATTTTTTGTCTTTTATCATCTAAAACCGTGAAATCAATAGTAATAATAAACAATTGATAAATTAAAAAAATTTCCAGAGCAATTGAAATTATAACGACATCGCCTGCATGATCTCATGCGTTAAAGTACGCTTAGTTATCAGTTGATATACTTTTAGCACGCATTTTTTTTATTACCTTAATTACAATCGCGAAACTATTTGAAACTTGTATTAAAATACTTTTTTATACTGTTTTACTTGTTATTTAAAAAAAAAAAAAAAAAATACTACCCCAATGCACACTACTCCGTATTATCGTGACGTTAGAAATCCATCCTACATACGTAGTAATGTTAATAAACAATAATTTTGTCGTGCTCGTCTATTTTTGTCGATTTATCATGCGCATAGAAAACCCCTTATCGGAATTCCCACTTTTCTTGGTCTTGTGTTTCGTAGTGTTTCCTTTCTAATGTCTACATCGGTAAAATTACTGAAATATGTTGTTCCGACCATCACTCACTTCTACTCTTTGATACTATTTTTTCGATATCGTAACCAGCAATTGTAATCCCCGAAAACAATAATTTTGCAAAAATAAAGGCTATTTGGCACTTGTAAGTCTGAAAGATCGGTATCTCGATCGTTAAGCTCTATACGAACCGAAATCGCGCACCACGGACTTTTTTTACTACAATAGATTCAAAGTAAGAACCGAAATGTGTCTAGTGATGAAAGTAACGAATTCCAAGTACATCATATACGCATGACGAAAACGTCGACGCAAGTTATAATTGCACATAAAACGCGAACTCGCGACAATTCATCAATCAACCATTTACACCTACCTCCCTCCTCTGCGCGTCGCATATTGTATGTATCCTCCAACGCGTTATCCCTCCCATTAAATGTGTACGTATGTAATATATTCTCGTTTCTATCGGTAGATTATAGGTGTATATAGGAGCAGGTGTATAGTGTACACAAGAAGTAACTCGAGGCGGATGTGTGTATACCCACAACTCAGTGCAGAGCGAGCGCGCCGCACTCGACGATCGGTTCGCTCGGCTCGACCAAATTTAATTCACCATTTTTTCTCGAGTTTATTTTTATTTATCCAATTTCGTACGTGCAAAGTGTTGCGGTTTTAGCATGGATAACAAGAAAAGGGCTCCGAAGGAGAATCCGGCCCAGGGTGCCGGTCTCCTCAGCCAAGCGCTTCTGTGGTAGGTCTCTTTCTAAGGGTTTTTTTTTTTTTTTTTTTTTTTAATTTTAAAAATGGCCCAAAATAGACACCCGCGCTTGTTTTTATCTCTCCCAATTTGCATAGGTAACACCTGTAGATGACGAATGGAAAAAAAAAAACTTGCTCCGGTCCGCGTGTGCATGGAGTACAGAAAAAGTTTTGATCGTCTGCGTTGGTTTTTCTAATACCGATCTTCCGGAAAATTATCGTTTTCAGGTATACGAAGCAGATATTCGTCAAGTGCAATCGTAGCGAAGTGACACTGGACGACATCTACGATCCCCTCGATTCCGACGAATCGGAGCATCTCGGAAATCGTCTCGAACGGTAAGCTGTTTTTTTTTTTTTTTGCTACTTTCGATTTTATGCAAATAATCAATTGTCATCCGTGCTATATATACGTATACATACATCAGAGGGGGATTCCATAATTATTTTGTTTTAGACTCGCTTTAAGTGAAAAATATGTTTGAACACTTAATTTTTTCCTATCGTTAAGTAAATATTATAGCGAAGAAAACCTTCTGTAGCAACGGAAATATATTGTATGCAGGTGATCCAACGATTGATCGGTTGTTGGGTGCTTTAAACAACGAGGAAAATGCTTGCGTAAAAAAGCAACGCTTACAGTACATGTACTTATAATATACGTGCATTGTCGTTCTTAGAAATGACATGCCGCCTTATTTTTACACTAATATTTCACCGCATCTCTATACGTACATTAAACAAATCCACAGTTGCTTATCCAAATGTCTAGGTATTGTACGCGCCAATTTTCTTGAACCTTATCCATACATGTGTAGTGTATATTTTATATAAGTGCTTGTTATCTCTGTAAAATTATCTTTTTTTTTTTTTTTTTTTTTTTACTAGAACTATATAGCAAACCGTGTATACGTATCGTGTATAATAAAGGTTGTAAACAAAAATGCAATGCTTTGTCAATTGAAAGTTGAAACACTTGTTCTTTTGTGAGTAAACAGCAAATATAGTCAAATCGAGTCATCTAAACGATTTTTTACGATGCAAGCAGCCAAAACTTAATTTCACTGGTTTTAAACAATTAATGTTTAATACATGTGGTTGAAAATTTCTAATGGTAACTCGCCATAGGCGCAACTAATTTTGAAAGACCTTGTTTTGCAAATAATTGCAAAAAAATATTCTTACGGCTGTTTAACAAATGAAAAATTTTACAACATTTCTTACACCACCATCAAAGTTCACTAAAATCAAAAGCGTTAATTTGGACGCGTTGAGAAAAATTCGAGATAATTATGCGAACGATCTGCTTGAAGAATAATCCTTTGTTTTTTTCAATTTTTGACTTGAAATATAAAAATAGCTTACGAAAAAATACATATTAATTACTTTGTCCATTCAGTTAACTCGAGTTAACCATTTGTCTATCATAAACGCGGTTGTGTAAACGTCAACTCATTTTACACAGGCATGTGCTATGAGATATAGAGGTCAAGGCTCAAACTCTAACCAACTTTGTCAAAATGCTAGAAAAACAAGATTTAATAGAATGGGGATCTACACATTTTTTTGGTACACCAATTTTAGTATTCACGTGTTTGAATTACCTGAAGTTCTTTCTTGTGTGGTGATGTTCTTTAAGGAAAATATGATATCTGTGTTGACTCAATTATTTAAATACATACATTTTCACTGTTAACTATGGGCTGCTTACTATCGCACTTTATGAAAATGTAACCCTATCTTTTTAAAAAGAAGTTCAAATGATTTTTCACATGGTTTAAATTTGAGGTTTCATTAATAGTTTAGAAATTTAATTGGTTTTCATAAGTTTTTATGTATAATATTACGTTTTAATATAGGATTGAACATATATAAATGGAATTAACTTAAAGAATGGATCATTTCATTAAAAAAAACAATACGATTTCATAATTTTTTAATCGATCGAGAATTTTTAAACACTTTGGATAGCAATTTATTTATGTATTTTTCATGCATTCTTTTTGTTGAAAAATTTTTTTAGTCACTGTTTGCAACACAAAACTGAGAAGTGTTTTTTTTTTTGTTCCATCAGATAAGTGCAGCGTACTTTATACATGAAAGGTCGTATATACGCTAACGTATGATAAATAAATATTTAAGTACCATGGCTATGTTTTTTGTTGTTGTTTTCCTACATTGTAATACATTGTTATTGCTGGGAAAAATGTTGTTAAGGATGAATCTTTCATGGCAAAAAAACCACATTTGATAAAATTAAAAAAAAAAAAAAAAGCCAAACCTCTAAACTCGACGTTTTACCGCTTGATGCGAAAATATGGTTATTTCACGTGTTCGCGCAAAAGTAAAAAACCCAAAGTAAAGAACCCGATTTCAGCGAATGGAACAAAGAGCTCGAGAGGAGCCGGCGATCGGAGTACAAGCTGAGCAAGGAGGGCCAGAAAATCGGGCCCCGTGACAGGCCCAAGCCAAGCCTGTCCCGGGCCCTGCTGCGCATGTTCGCCTGGCAAAACGCCCGGCTGGCCGTTCTGCAGGTCATCAATTTCCTCGGCTTCGTCGTCGCGATGCCCATCTTCCAGGGCTACGTCATCGACTACTTCGAGATACGCAACTCCACCACCGGCGACGAGGACTTGCGCGACGTCGTCGTTTACGCCGGTCTCATGATCCTGGCCAAGCTCGGCAACGTGCTCTTGCTCCACCATGGCTTCAGGATCGCCAATCTCATGGGGATGAGGGCTAGGGTCGCCTGTTGCACCCTCATCTACAGAAAGGTATATATATATATATGTAGTGACATTTTTTTCCGCTTTCCTATAAATGGTACTGTTATTTTTATTGAAAATTACCTTTGGGGGCATTCGTGGACAACCTTTTTTTTTTGTGATTACGAATTTCAACACAAGTGTACCACATATTGTTGTGAGTGCGGGAGAAGGCGCGTGAAAAAAAAGCTCCGAAGCTCGAGTTTATTCTTTCTACACGTGTAATTTAAACAATATTTCCATTAACGCAAACACGTGATCGGTAAATTATCCTGCACGTATATACATATAATGTATATTTAATTGTTCACTTTTCATTTATTTGTCTTAACTGCCGGTCTAATTTATTTGCTTACGATAGATTACATTTCAAGCTCGTACGAATTTACTTTTTTTTTCTTTTCTTTTTTTTTTTTTTTTACAACGAACAAATTATGTATAAGATCAGGGACACCGAGTTATCGTTCGTTTTTGCTGACCTTTACCATATAGCACTACGATAAGGATAATTTTCGAAAATTATAAAAAGCGTTTTTTGCAAACATTGGGGATAAAGTTACGGTGTCGAAATTGAATTATTTAATCCCAATTATTGATTTTATAAAGCTCAAACCTTTTCGCGAAAGAAGAATAACGTTAAAAATCATTCGTATGACCGAAAAAAAAGTAAGGTTGCATTACATTGTTATCAACCTTATTTTCGTCAGTTTCAAAAGATCGACTATTATTGTCCTTTTACACGCATTCGGGGTTTAAACTCAACTTTGTTTTTTCCTATACTTAAAATGTAGATAGTCCAAGTATTTCCACTCGTAATTCATATTTTCTACGCCACGTGAAAACACAAATTTATCGTTGAAACTGTGCGTATACTTATATGTTAACTAACGAAACAAAAACAGTTAACGAAAAGCGGCACAATATGTACATAGAAAAAAAAAAAAAAAAAAAAAAAAAAAAATGGGCGAAAGAAGCCTTTTGATGCTTGGATTTTCAGAGCTTGCGACTGAAAAAATCGATACTGGACAAAACGGCCGCGGGCCAGGTCGTCAACTTGATGAGCAACGACGTCAGTCGTTTCGACATGCTCTTCCAGTACCTCAACTTTGTCTGGATAACGCCCATCCAGGTGAGCCAAAGAGAAAACAAACATTGCACATTGCGTAAGTATATACTCTAGAAAAAGGACACAACATTAAAAATAATATCCACACTTTTGTCGATCCCCGGACTCATATGGGCGTACAGATAGTGATAATAATGTACGTAATGTGGAACGACATCGGCATGATGCTGCTCGTGGGCATAGCCATACTCTTCGTGATAGCCGTACCGCTGCAGGCGATCGTCATTTACACGAGCAAGATACTCAGGGCTAAAATAGCCACCCTCACCGACACTAGGGTCCAGCTTATGAGCGAGCTCGTCTCCGGCATACAGGTGAGAGAATAGGAGGTGCAAAACTTTATTTTTACCATAAGCATTGAGATTAATAAAAAAAAAAATAATAATAATAATAAACATTGGGGGACAGGTCATAAAAATGTACGCGTGGGAGAAGCCGTTCGAGAAGATAGTCAACAAGACGAGGCAGGACGAGATGGACAAAATAACCAAGACCTCGCACGTGCGGAGCTTCTTCTTCAGCTCGATGGTCTACACCGAGCGCCTGACCGTCTTTGCCACCCTGGTACTCTACGTTATGGTCGGCAATCAACTAACCGCCGACATATCCTTCGTCCTGGCTACTTATTTCAATATTCTTCAGTTGTCGATCATCTACATGATGCCCCACGGCATGATCGCCCTGGGCGAGGCCTCGGTATCCATTAGGCGCATAGAGGTATATATATATATATATATTTTACTTGCAAACAATAATCATCGTCCACAAGTACATAATGTGTTTTCGAGAACTGTAACAATAATTATTAACGTATTGCAGGAATTTCTACTTTTGGACGAGATCTCGCCGACCAAACAGATCCAAATGCTTAAAGTCCCCCAGAGCAAGCAGATCCACAATAACGAGGTTATATTCACCGGAAAGGTCAAAGAAGCCATGAACGCCAGTCCCGGTCTCAATGGCCTACCGGTCGAGGTATTCAAATAATACAAACGTAAAATATATATACCCTCTAGAGTCAAGTCCCGAGAGTGTTCTCTGTCGCGTCCTACATAGATAACCTTCAACCGAGTCTCGGCCAATTGGGTGGCGGGTCAGCTTCCCCCGACGCTGAACGAGCTAACCTTAAAAATCGACGCCGGCAGCTTGTGCGCCCTCGCCGGCAACGTGGGCTCCGGCAAGTCGGCCCTCCTGAATCTACTGCTCCGCGAGTTGTCCGTGGGCGCGGGCACGGTCACTATGAAGCAGCATCAGCTCACCGGTGCGGAGCCGGTCCACAAGCCGGGCTTCCACACCGACAACCCCAGCCTCAGGGTATCGTACGCGTGCCAGGACGCTTGGCTCTTTGCCGGCACCGTCAGGGACAACATCCTCTTTGGACAACCGTTCGACGCAGCTAGGTACAACGAGGTTGGTGCTGGTTTGTTTATTGCTCATTTCCTGACGTATACGTAATATTTATACATATCTATGATGCACTCGTCATTATATATGGTCAACAAGTTTTTTTCCTCCTCGCGTTTATCGGCGTTTATATTTGTTACTTCTCGGAGATGTACGCATATATATGTATGCACACGAGGAGGAAGAACGAATGACAATGAAACAAGCATGTATGTGATAAAAAAAAAAAAAAAAACAATAATAATAAATCATAAAACAGGTGACGGAGGTGTGCGCCCTGCGCCGTGACTTTGAGCAGCTGGCCAAGGGTGACCAGTCGGTGGTGGGCGAGCGGGGTGCCTCGTTGTCGGGTGGCCAGCGGGCTCGGGTGAACTTGGCTCGTGCCGTCTACCGTGAAGCGGATCTTTATCTGCTGGACGATCCTCTGAGCGCGGTGGATCCCCGGGTGGCTCGGCATCTCTTTGAGCGCTGCGTTCTCGGGTACCTCAAAGGAAAGACGAGGGTCTTGGTGACCCACCAGCTCCAGTTTTTGAGACAAGCCGACTCGATTGTGTTCCTCGAGCGCGTGAGTTATAATGTATTGTACACACGAGATGCCCACGATTGGGCCATTTTGGGAAACAACAATAATACGTATACCCGACGGAGTTTGTTATAATTATATGGTCATTCGCACTTTTCTTTTTTCTTAGTACATAGGAAAACGCCCTGTTTAAAGGGAAAAGTTACGTAGTGTATTTTTTTTTGTCAACAACCACGTACTTGCTTTGCGGACCCTGAATATAAAATACACAAGTTTTGCCAAGTACGTGATTGACGACTTTCCCCCTTGATTCTTCGTGCAGTGAAAATGCGAGGGAATCGATCGCCAACTAATGTCGCCGTCGTTGGTTTTTCCCGCGCGTGTAATATGTCACGATTCTCTCGATTGTCCGTAGGGAAGCGTCAAGTACCAGGGCTCCTACCACAACATCACGAACCTCAACCCGAAGGTCATGGCTCTTTTGGGCAAGCAAAAGTCCTTCAGCGAGAAGAAAAAGGAGGGAGGGACCAAAGAGGCGGCACCCGAGGAGGATGACAAGTCGCTCGACGTAAGCAAGTGCATTTGTATATGATATAAAGTAAAAAAAAAAAACAAATCGTTTGGTCGGACACGGTGTGAATGTAAGGAATCCGTGCACCAGCTGTCCGACTCCGAAAGCGTGGACGAAGAACCGGCCGAGCAGCGTCCTGACGCCGAGGAAGGCGAGTCGGGCCGTCAATACGGCAACTTGGAGCTCTTCCTCGCCTACATACGGGCCGGGGGTTCCTGGTGCATCCTCGGGTTTTACGTGCTCACTGCACTGCTCACCCAAATCGCCACGAGCGGCACGGACTTTTGGCTCGGCTACTGGACCAACATCGAGGACATACGCAACAACTCGCGCAACTCCAGCGTCGAGAAGAAATACATGCAAGAGTACCGCACGGCCAATTTGTCGGGTGAGTTATTGGGCGTGCGATTGGTCGAACAGCCCTGGATAATTTTTTTTTTTTTTTTTTTTTCCACAAAACTCGGTCAATTGCGCGACCGTTTAGTGATAAACGCGCGTTGCACGTGCCCTCCCCCACGCTGATATTTATGTATAATTACGTATGTATGCGCCGGACACGTGTGCACGTGCGCGCGAAGGAAAAGGAAAAAAAAAAAAAAAAAGAATCGCTGATTCAAGATCGTTTATGAGTTAAACTGTTGTTAGAATTATAGTCACTTTTGCCTCCCCTGCGACCGATAACCCGATTGTGCGGAAGGTGCAGTTTGAAGGAAAAAAAAAAAAAAAAGAGTTGCTTTAGCACCATCTGTGTATACTTACTTGTATATACCTACCGGTGGATGAAATAAGAGCTTCGTCAGCCGCAGCCTCGCCGACGACTCCACACCACATCTTCCACGTAACGCAAGGAAATATGGACCCGTGTGATTCTCGGTGGATGAATATATATATATATATATATATTTCCAAGAGAGTGAGCGCGAAACAATGAGTAACGCGCAAGGCCTTTACGTTTTATCTTGAAAAATCTCTGTCAGCCCGACGATTGCGAATGCACGTGTGTAATGACGTGTGCGAGGGATCGGTTGCTCTCTCGCTCGTGTGTTTTTATATATTTTGTACTTGTATTACCATTCCCATTTGTACAATGATAATACACGCGCAATGTGTCACTGACCCACTGTACGGCGAAGGGCGTTTCAATTCTTATTCCATTGTCTTGGTTCGCGTTAGGAATCGGCGTTTTGGAGGACATCGACATCAGAACCGACGAGGCAGGCCTGCTGTCGACGATCGACGCCATCAACATCTACGCCGCCCTGTTGATCCTCTGCGCGTTCTTCTGCATCTTTCGGAACTACCTCGCCACGAGGATATGCATGAAGTCGAGCCGGCGACTCCACCAGATGATGTTCTCTAACCTACTCCACGCCACCATGAGCTTTTTCAACAAAAATCCATCTGGTACAACTATAGATCTTCCTTTTTTTTTTTTTTTTTTTTTCTAATCCTCAAGATCTCTTGTTACATAATTGATGGGTGTACGTGTCGCAGGGCGGATCCTGAACCGGTTTTCCAAGGACACCGGGGCCATGGACGAGATGCTCTCGCGAAACTTCACCGAGACCGTGCAGATATTCTCGGTGATGTTCGGCATCCTCGTCGTCATCGTCATCGTCAACCACTGGATGATCCTGCCGATCCTGGTGATCGGCACGGTGTTCTGGTTTGCCAAGTCCGTCTACCTCACGACCGCCCAAAAGATCAAAAGGGTCGAGACGTCCGGTAAGCCCTTGCAACAAAGCAATACACCACACCAGTAGTCGTAGTATATTTTTGTCGCGATTGATAAATATACAAAATAACCGATCGCCAGCCAAGAGCCCGGTATTCTCCCATGTGAACGCCACGCTGAACGGCTTGACGACGATCCGCAGCTGCGGCGAGCAGATCGCGGGCCGTTTGGTCAAGGAGTTCGACCGGTACCAGGACGAGCACTCGGGCGCGTGTTTTCTGGCCATAGCGACCTCGATAGTCTTCAGTATATTCCTGGATCTCCTTTTGGTCGCGTTCGTCGGTGTAGTGGCGTACAGCTTCATCCTCGCCGACGACGGCAAAACGCCGGGCGGCAACGTCGGCCTCGCCCTGTCCCAGGCCACCATACTCACGGGCATGGTGCAGTACGGCTTTCGTATATTCGTCGACGCCGTCTCCCAACTTACCTCCGTCGAGCGCATGCTCCAGTACACGAACCTACCCAAGGAGCACCCGCTCACATCCCCGACACCGCTGCCCAAGGAGTGGCCCAGGCGCGGCAAACTCGCTCTGAGACACGTCTCCATGCGCTACGAGGACAACAAGCCCCTCGTCCTCAAGGTAATCACTTCTTTTCCATACATCCATACAAATAATGTACATGGTATGGTTATATAATTATACACGCACATATTTATATGTATGTATGGAAAAAAAAAGAGAGAGAGATCGGTAAAGATCGGTGGTGTTGTCGCAGGATCTGAACTTGACGATCGAGCCGGGTTGGAAGGTCGGTGTAGTCGGGCGGACCGGGGCGGGCAAGTCCTCGGTCATAGCGGCGCTGTTTCGGCTGAGCGGCGACAACCTCGAGGGCGAGATAAAGATCGATGGCATAGACACCGGGCACGTAGGCCTCCAGGATCTACGGGCCCGCATATCCATCATACCTCAGGTATGCATATACACGAGTTACAGCGAGAGAGAAAAATCAATTGGTTTCTTTTGTACAAATGACAATGCACGTGGTGTATAATACATAGGAGCCGGTGCTGTTCACGCAAACGTTGCGCTACAATCTCGATCCGTTCGGCGAGCACGGGGACTCGGTGCTGTGGGAGGCGTTGCGCGAGGTCGAGCTCAATGAGCTGTCGCTGGACCAGATGGTGGCCGAGAAGGGCAGCAACTTTAGCGTCGGCCAGCGGCAATTGATCTGCCTGGCGCGAGCCATCGTCAGGCAGAACGCGATACTCGTGCTGGACGAGGCCACCGCCAACATCGACACTCAGTGAGTTTCATTTACGTGTCCACATTCGTGTATCATGTATGCGGGGGGGCTCATTGGTTTCATTGTGCGGTGAAACCAAGGACGATATTACACCACTGGATACAGGGCCAAGTGGCTTTTTTTTTTTTTTTCGGCCGCGATCAGACAGCCAGGAAATAAAAAGGTGAGAGAGAGAGAGAGGTGTCGGGGCGGCTCTTCCGCAATTGACGGCATATAGACAACTTCACAGGTGTGTACACGTGCGTGCAAGAGATAATTATAGGGGCCGAGGGTATATCTGTGAAGCTGTGACGTGCGCGCGCGGGGAATTACCGCGACGCCTTTTGCGTCCGCGTCTTTTCTTTTCAGCTGGTAATTACTCTCTCGGAACTTTGCCTTTTTTCCTACATTCCTTTTTTTTTTTTTTTTTTTTTTTTTCATATGAAGGCTCTCGTTGGATAGATTTTTTTTTCCAAGTGCCGATCGCGGTATAATAAGCTTGCTCGCATCCAAAAATCTATACATAGTAACAATTACAATGAATTATACATTAAAGGAGACGTGCAAGTTCACGCAATGAGCCCTGCATACGTTGGACCGATCGAGAACCACACACACGCCTTGGCGATCGGCCTTGAAATCGGCGTCTCACATATGCGTATGCGTTGGGAGTACTTCCAGCCCACACGTACGCGGAATAATATAGTATATATATGGGCCTCCTCTCGCGGGAGAGATACACTATTGACACGAATCCGATATGTATATCCTTTCTCTCTCTTTCGCGCGTTTACATAAATAGTACAACACCTATGTTTGGCATCATATTCATTTCCATAATGAATATAACAGCTCTCGTCGATTGCTCACTACTTACATTGCATCAAAAGCGAATAAATTGGCGCGCGCGAGGCTATACGTGTGTATACATTAAATTTCAGACTCTCGGGACCGAAAGAGAGAAAAGATCAAGGACCCCCTCGAGAGTGTGTTCCTCTTTTTTTTGTTTTTTTTTTCTCTCTGCTCGCTTTGTTTATTCATACGTAGAAATAATTGTTACCGTCAAATCGTGATGATGCATTACCGATTTTGGAAAATCGGCACGTGATGATCGACTATGTTTTTTTAGCAAAAGTACGCGGATGTTTTACGTGTACCGCGAATTCCTCGCATACGCCAAATAATCCTTTCCTATAACGTCGAACGCTTCTATCACAACACTCTGGCTATCATGTAGAACGAGTTTTTTATCAATTTATCGAGAGTCGATTAATTGTTGGACATCAATTTGAAGATTATGTTAAACGTACGAGCAATCAATGACGGGATAAAAACACTTTTGAGTCGCGCACCTCTTGTTTAACTCGTTTACCAACGACCAGTCGTACAATTTGTGCGTGTAATAGCTGGATGTGCCAATAAATTATTGCCAATAAAGAAAAACACACTCGTCAAACCATCGGTCTTTTATTCGTTAAAAAAAAAAATCCATCAGGTATAAACATAATACGTATACGCATTGTCCGCGGCTCATTGTTGCGCGCAAGTGCACGTGAAAAACGGAAAACTGCTCAAGCCGGTGCACCGGGCCATTTTGAACCAGCCCAAGTTGCACCAAGCTTTGCACAAGAATTGCGACAAAACAACGCACTGGCGGTCCACTGCGGCGTTATCCAAGTTTGCTGAAACTATGGGAATTTGTGTCCATGTAATAATATTGCAATTGTATACGGATAAGGAAAGAAAAGTCGGTGGGTGACTTACCGTGGCTCGCGATAATCACGATCAGTAGGAACAAAATAAAATCTCGCATCGTGCTGGAAGGTCGTTTTCGGACTAAATGTTCCAAATGGGTTTATCAATGCAGCGGAACTGAATCTTATCAGTTGATTGGTTTTTTTTTTTCGCAATCAATGCTTTCTTTTCAGCTGTTTAAACGAAGCTCAAGGCAAAACGAGCTTCAATGGTAATTGAACACTTGAGTGTTGCGAAGAAAAAAAAAAAGTATGAAATACCGATGGTCCAAAACCATCATGTGATTAATTATACACGCGGACTATGCTGACCTCCAAATTCTTCTATGCCCACGTCTGTTTTCAGTACCGACGCTGTCATTCAAGGTACCATTAGAAAGAGATTCGCCAAATGCACGGTGTTGACGGTGGCTCATAGGCTCAACACCATCATCGACAGCGATCGTATTATCGTGATGGACAGTGGTTCTGTGGCGGTACGTATAAAGAGCTTTTCCTCGCTTCGTTGAGTACATTGCGATTAAGTTTAAAGTATTTGTTCAACTTTTTTTTTTTTTTTTTTTTTTTTTTTTTCAAAAGACGTTTATTGTGTTACGTAATTGGATTCTTATTGACGTTAAAACGTCATCACTTTGTCGTGCGGTTAATCATCGGTGTGTATGAAAAATCGAGTCGTCCGTTCTGGAATTTAGCTAGAATTATTTATTTTTTTTCTATTTTAATCGTACAAACTTATAGATATTCAACATTAAAAGGCAAAACATGTCTTTTCATTTTTTTTTTTTACATAAAACTTGGTTTTCTGTCTGTAATAAAAGTAAAATTTACAAGATAAAAATACTATCAATTAAAATTATATCAAGTCGTCTTCAAAGCTATACATTTACTCGGAGCCAAAATAAAAAAATTTGGATCAATCGTCCTCGCAAGCTTATCCTCTCCCATCATCTTGCACCCCACGAGTGTTGATATCGTGTACAAGTAGATACAAATATCAAAAAAATTAAATTTCACAAAAAAAAATAAATTTTCGTCTCTCCATCGCAGGAATTCGGCTGCCCGCACGAGCTCTTGACCAAAAACGCCAACGGCCCGTTCTCCCAGATGGTCAATCAGACCGGCAAGGTGATGGCGAAGAAGCTGAAGCAGCTAGCCGAGGAATCTTGCTTACGCAATATGCAACAGCGCAGTCTAGATATCGACGTGGACGAGGACGAGCCGGAGGAAGAATGCTACAGCTCACGCTTGTGAGAACAACGAACAACGTCCCTCTACTCTCACTATACATACACGCGCGCGCACACACACACACACATACTAGACATAAATATACATTTTTTTTTTTTTTTCAATAAAAAAGAAAAGATAATTATAAAAAAAATATCTATATATACGCGAGAATCGTTTTTGATGTCGCGGCGCAATATCCAAACTTTCTCTCGAGGAATCTGTATGAAGTCATACAAAGACTGTACATAGTTAAGTTATACTTTTGTTTCTAAGATAGTTTTTCACCAACAATCATTTCTACTGCCATTGGTGGCAATGTGAAATCACACTTCAACGAAGAATCTGCTCATTGATGAGATAAATTTTATTCTTCCATCTGGTTGTTGTTGTTTGAGAGCTGCTCCGTGGTACTCTGGGTCACAAATACTTGAGACTTGGATGAAAAATTTGACTGAAATTGTCAAAACAAAAGTGAGATGTCATTTAATAGTTATGTATTAAAAAGCTTTTTATAATTAAGGTGTGCCAGTGAATCAACTGAATATGTGAAACGTAGAAAACGTTAATGTAAATACTTATGTATAAAATCCAATAAATAATACTTCATTTCATAAAGCTGTTTTAAAACAACGATCCCTCACCTGCGTGACAGTCGTCTGTGCGTGACTCGCGTTTGGCATGCACACAACCACGATTTTTGTGGCTTGGGCTGGTTTAGGTTGAACGTGAACCTGTTGCGCTTGCGCATGTACCGGTACCTGCTGCACCTGAACTTGCGGTGTCTGCTGAACGGTAGGCGTCTGTGATTTCGTCTGTACAATCACGTATTTTTGGCCACTAGCCGTTGACGTCAGCGTTTTCGTAGCTCCCAAGACGACTAAAATACAATTGTAAGTTACTTGTGAATTCACAGTTGATACTACAACAAACTTTGGAACGGTTTTACACACCTGGCTGTGTTATCGTTTTAGCAGTAGTGACGGTATTTTGCTGTTGACTCGTATTATTGGTCAAAGCTGCAGTGGTGACTACTGAAATCGGTTGAGTTCGAGCTTTGGTAACAGCCGTGCACAAAGCCGGTCCTATGTAACCGTACTCCTGTTTGAATTCCTCTAGATAATCTGGTGGCGACCGCATCGTCTTCAAAATAGGCGCGACATTTTTCTAACGACAAAAGATAAACTATTAGAATTTAATGTAAGATTTCTCGTACATAAGGTACAAAAAAATTGAATCGTTAATCTTACCACTACTACGGTTTTTATACGCCCAGCGGCATCCTTATCTACATTGGTAAAACTCGATCCCTCGATGCACATCTCAATGCGATCGGAGATGATTTTTATTTTAGGTATAACTAGCGCCTTTATCACTTCCGGTCCTAATTCGCAGAGCCCGTGAATAACACCATACAGTGAGGCGAATGGTGTCTGAAAGTAAACGTTTCTTCTAGTTTTTCATGTGTCGTTCAACATTTACTTTCAACAAAGTGCCCAACTTACTTGAGTGTTTTTAGCCAATGCTTGGCTAAAGATTCTTGTAACTCTTGTTTGAATATTATTCGTGGTAGTATTGAAGTTTTTACAAATTTGCGCCATAAGACGTGACGCAAAGTCTCGCAAGGCATAGTGATTATCTTGCTCTGGACGGGAACACAATTGCTTTGATACAATGCAGGTCACGACTGACGGTATCAGTTCGTGAAGCTGTAACAAAAAAGCAAACGTACATAAATTGGGGCTAAAAATTACTTTGAATAAGTCGTACTTACGTATTTTTCTAGATAAAGGCTCGGATTATCAAGCAAAGCTTTGACCATCCGCATCAGGTAGATGAGAATAGCGAGATTATTCTGTACCACATTTATTCTCACACCTTCCGCAATGAATGTACACATACGAGGTAGCATCTCGTGAAGACCGGGGTCGGCAGAGAGCGACTGGAAGGCTTCCAGGCGTCTTCCCTCGTCGGAGCCTACGCAAGCCTCTGTGATTTCCTTATAATATAGCTGCTGCTCCACGCTCAACTCGTGCGTGGCAAGCTGCTTGACGTGTACTGTTTCGACGTTGCGCAGCTTATGACCCTTATTGCCGGGTTTTCCCAAATTGGCTTGATTGTTCTTGGTGCTTATTGGGTCCACACTCTCGGTCTTTTGCGCTTCTGTGAATTTTAAATTCAATAGGTGTACTTTGGGTGAAAAAAGATTATTGCAAACAAACGTTATAGAGTGAAAAGTTAACCTTTAGAGACGGGTGGCGGATTTTCCGGTATCGTAGGCTGAATGCCATCGATGCACAACCAATGAGCTCGTAAGGTTGTCTCCAGAGGCAGCTTTGGCCAGTTTGGCCCGCTCGCCGAGGAAATCATTTCATTCAAGTCGATTTCCTTGTCTTCTATAAAGTGTAACTCCCTGCCACCACCTGACGTGAAGCGAAACGGAATGTGTTCTTTAGCAAAAAATCCATAAGTGGGCTCAACGTTTTTAGCCTTCAAGGCATGGTCGATGTCGTGCGCCGTTAACTTTTGCCGTCTACCATGTCTCATGAATTTTGTAGCATCCTGCGTGACAAGGCAATCATTAGAATAAGCACATCAACAAATTGTGCATAAATTGCACACCACACAAGCATTACCTGAACGATTTCCTTCAATCTGTAACTGACATCCTCGGCTAAATCTTTGGCAGCTTCATCCGGCAAGTTTCCAATGCCAATGCTCTCGGCAATAACTTTCATCGACTCTGAGGACAGAGTCGTCCCATACATGGATTCTCCTTCATTCATCTTGGCTTGTTACTTGTGTCTTCTGATAGTGTGAGGTGTTACTCTGCTTGACCAAGCGCATACTTAAAACTAGAACAAATCAACGCAGACTCTTATTATCAAAGAAATATCATATCCACGATCGGTATTCTCTTTCACTTTGTCTTGTTGCAAAATATTATATCCGAATTCAGAATTGAAATACGAAATAATTACCTAAAATTCAAACCATTACGGCCTAACCTCTTGATCGCGTTTGTTTACTGTCCATCAACATCATGACGATAACCCCACAAGCATCTTCAACATTAATTAATTAACATAACAACCAGGCTTCGTTAATAGCACACACTTTATTTACACTTGCGATAAAAAATAGCACTTAGATTCATTATTAATACATTAAAAATTGTTTATAAACAAGCTGGCGGCAACGAGTCGCGAAAAAAATTTAGACAACCATCAACCATGGCGGCTGGGTATTTGATGGGTATTTGAGACCGTAACGTGACGCCGTGACGGAAGCAAGTTAGTTACATGCTGTGTAACGCAACGGTCATCAGAGTGGCAGTGCCACGGTGGCACTGTTATTTAAAAAAAAATTCCAAAAATTTTTTAAAGATGATAAAAAATAAGTCTTCATTGTTTTATATAGCAAAAAAGATTCAGATTCGAGGTTTCTATCAATAAAATAAGCCAGCAAGTTATGTAAAAATAATGCGTATGTAATAAATTTTAAACATAATTAAATTTACAGATTAAAATTAATAAAATACAAAATATCAACACAATCGCAAACAACAAAATTTACAAAGTTAAGATTAATAATTAAAGTTGTAAAATAATGCAGGTACACATGGTCTTTGTTAATCATTCGAATGATTTTGACAGAGACTAGCCATGATCTGAAGATCTTGGGAGCTCAGGAAGTACAGAACTTGTTGGATCAAGAGATCCGACAGATTAAAATGCTTCCACAAGAAACCGAGAGACTCCTCAACGATTTCCAGTAGCTGCCTGCGCTTCAAGCCTTTGTAAAACCTCTCCTGCAAAAGAGTACAGTAAATCGGAAACTCCATCCTGTAGTCCTTGGACTTGAAGAGCTTCATAGCGTTCTGGCTCCTGGCATATCTTCCCAGCTCTCTTTCGCACCCAGTCAGTACTTGATAGAAAGTCGTTTTGTAACAAATCCTGCAGTCCTTCATTTTGTCGATCTCCTTGAGACAGTTGGCATAAAATCTGCTGAGCTTCTCGTTTTTCTCCAGCAGCCTTATGTTCTCGGCACAGATGTTCCTCGAGTATTGTTTAGCCAAGTACATAGTGAGGAATTCGGGTATCCATGTTTCATCAATCGTTAAAACGGCGTGGGCCAAAGGGCTCTTGTTATTATCATCTTTGACGTTGATGTCAGCCTCGTGCTCCAGCAACAAGTGGATCATGTTCATGTCTTCTATTTCGACAGCTGCGTGCAAGACAGATCTACCGTCGTTTCTTTGCTCGTTCACACTGGCTCCTTTTTTCAAAAGAAACTTGACGATTTTGTCGTTCTTCGATTTCACAGCGCAATACAGAGGACTTTCCCCGTAGTTGTTTTTACAATTCACAAGAGCTCCCTGCTCCAAAAGCAACTTAACCATGACTTTGTTCCTGGCTACGACTGCAGTGTGCAGTACGCTCTGTCCAGTATCTGTAATGCTGCATAGACACATCTTAATGAAGCTTGAAAATAAAGATGAATTATTTGTAAAGGACAAACAATGATTACCTGTTAACAGAGACACCCTGGGACAGGAGCAGCTTGGCTATCCTTTTGTACTTTTGCACTACCTCCTTTGTGCTGCCTTGCAAGCACTTCTGCGCAACCAGATGCAGGGGTGTCTTTCCACTCTCCTCTCTCGCGTCAACATTGGCATTGTTAGCAATCAGCAGAGTAATACTGTCCTCCTTGCCGTGCTCAACAGCAGTGTGCAATGCGGTGTAACCATCCTTCCTCACGTCGTCTACGAGGGCTCCTCGCTCCAACAGAAGCTTGGCTATACTCAGATTGTTACGCTCCACTGCAAAATGCAACGGACTACTGCCAGCTTTGTCCTTGGCTAGGACGTCTGCCCGCCTGTTCAACAGCAGTCTAACAATGTCGTAGTTGTTCGATATGATGGCAAAGTGCAGCGGGCTCATTTTGGACGAGTCCTTGGCGTTAATATTTGCGCCGTTGTCCAGGAGGATCTTGATCGTGCGCTCCTTTTTGGCAATAACAGCGACGAAGAGAGCCGTTTGCTCGTCGTGGTCGCGCTCGTCGATTCTGGCTCCTTTTCTCAGCAGCAGCCTCGTTATCTTCTCGAATCTCTCGACTATTTTTTTACCGTAAAAGTACACGTCTTTGCCCACTACCAGGTGCAAGGGCGTTCTGCCATCTTTATCCTTAGAGTTCACATTTGCCCCGTGCCTCAGGAGTAGGACAATGTTTTCCTCCCTGCCCCATTCCACGGCTATGTGCAGCGCTGTACGTCCACTTTCAGTCTTGTCGTCTGGCCGGGCTCCCCTGCTCAGGAGGAGCTCGACCACGCCTGTCACGTCATTTTTTACTGCCAGGTTCAACAAACTGTTTCCATGTTTGTCCTTGAGGTTGACGTCTGTTCCTTTGTCCAGGAGATGCCTCACAGCAGATACAGTGATGGTTGATGTGGTGCAAGAGAGTTGCATGTCACAATTGAATTTTTTGATGAGCAGCTCGTCCTTTGGAGTCATGGGTCGTTATTTATCTTCGACTATCTCAGCTGCAATACCTTGGGGGCAGGGTGCAATCACATTAATCTAAAAGTGTAAATCATTTTTTACTCATGCACAATATGTATTGTTATTTTAGACAAATAATAATAATTATTATGAATTACCTGTATTAATTAAGGCTTTTTATTGTGGTGTATGTATATGAATGTATCACACAAATATCAGCCATTATTTTGACAGCTGACAGAATATGTCGGCTTCATATAATTTTAGTAAGTATTCTTATTCTGGGCTACAGAGATGAAAAAAAAGCAAGTACTTATAAATAATTAAAATAATAAAACGTAGAACAAGAAAATTTTTCACCTTTTACAGACGAGAATACGAGATACTTAAATGTCTGTACTTATGTGAAAGGTGTTTTTTGTCATTTTTTTTTTTTGAAGTAATTGACACGTTATGCCGCCACGCGGTTGAAGGTGCAGTTACCAGCGAGAGTCAGTGAAGCGCGGGAGATTATAAATATCACCCAATACAGTTATTCGATGAAAGAACTTTTTCTATTCTACTCAGGAAAAAAAAGGTCGTGTTGATTGGGACATCTACTTGCATGTCTGTAGCTGTTGCACAACATAAAAAAAATACGAAGCTTCCTACAGAAAAAAGTTCTATTAGAATCTAACTTAAGGAACTTACCCTGAATATCTCTTTAAAAACTTAAGGATTATGCAAATAAATAAACAGAATCATATAACACCTTTTTTTATTTTCAAGGAAGGATTTAATACAGTTGTGATAGGTTCATTTTTATTACGTAGAAAAAAAGCGAGGGAGATTACTTTGCACATTTCAGTCAGTTAAATGTAGCGAATATTTAAATATATTTACAATTCACATTCATCCATACATAGGACAGTAAAAAATTAATTCTATGAACTTATTTTTTTCGTAAGTAATAAAACTCTAGATAGGCATAAGAATATGATTGCTTCAAGGAGTCTTTCAGAGAAGTACACATTTTATATAACAATTACCGTAGTTTAAATGCATTACTTCAGATCGACTTAAACATGGAACATTACATTTACTTTTAAATCTGTTTGGCTTATCAAAGACTAGCATTTATAATATTAAATAAAAGTTTTTCAACATAATGAAATTTCAATTACGTTTGTGGTAGCGCTTGCAAACATATACAATAAACTGGGCAAAAAAGGGCCACAATATAATAAAAGTCATGAATTTCAAAGAAACCTTATGTCAAGATCCAACACTGCTTTTATCAAAATAAGCTTTAACCGTCCGTTTTTTTGTTTTCTGCATCTTTCCTTCAATACTTCCAATTCTATGTATAACTTGGTTCAAATTTTCCTGAAGATCTTTAAGAGTGATCATAATTTGATTCATAAACTCCAAATTAAGCCGCTCTGGGTTGTACTCTGTATTTTTATTCATGTCACGATTGAATATCATCTCAACACCTTTGGATGCATCGGTGCATTGTACAAAATTAACGTCATGGCTAGCCGACTCGAAGCAGAAATCGTTTCTATTATCAAAACCTTCAAACTCCGACTGCTTTTCATTGACGCAATTTTTAAGAAATTCTCTCTGAAAACTGTCATGTGCATATTCCACAGAATCAATAAACTCATCATCAGCTTCTGACTCCTGAACATAACTGTCAACATCATTCACGCTATCTTCGTCCCTCCACAAAAGCGTTTCCTCCGAGGTATCAGAGAGAGACGAGTCAGTGTGCAACTGGGTCTGTTCCAAGGTGTCTGGATCTCGCTCAGGTGTCCTCTCGTGAAACAAATCCACTCTGTCCAGAAAATCAGCAACGTCCTCGTTGTAAGACATTGTCTCTATGATGCCCTTGAGCTCTTCAATGTAACGACTCATAGCATCTTTTTGGCTCATGTTGCCCAGTTGAGCCCAAGCTTCCCATCTGGCTTTTTTGACGAGCTGCCAGAACGCTGGCTTGGAACTTTTGCAAGGTCCTGAGGTGGCTTGTTTGTAGTAGCTGTAAAATCTCAGCATCAATTCCTCACTTGGCTGATAGCTTCCATTTTTAGGCAGATTTGTTATCACTTTGGCAGCTGCTTTGAATCTTTCATTGGTTGTCATGACTATTAAGTACCCTTGTCTGCCATTTGCTGTGGATTACAAATTAATTAATTTACTTGTTTACATTCTTGACAGATATGTTTACGTATGTACAACATACGTACACTACATACTATGGCTATATTCGTTGAGTTAAGTTACGTAGGTCGTGTAGTAACGCCGCATTATCGGGCGACGCTACAGCTTACTAACTGTCTAAACAGACTAACTGACGTCAAACTGTGGGTGCCGTCGGTGGGTTCCGCTCAACAAACTTCGATATTTTTTGCTGTTTTCACCCCCATGCCACCCGATATTTCGGATTTCATCATTCTGGTAAAGAGAGCACGGTGTACGATATACGTATAGAGTGTTATGTGTATAGTAATTATAGTAATCACTACTAAGTAGTGCCATAAGGTCAATTTTATTAAACAATGTAAGTATCTATACTTTTAAAGGTCAATTTTCGGGTAGAATATATTAGGGATGTAAACTTGCCACAAACAACACAGACCACGTCAACCTTTTTTTTCAATCTGTTAAATTAGTTGCGGCTGGTTTATACTTGATTACATGGCTCTACCATAAGTATATATAGTAATATTTATTTGGATCAGCGCCATCTAGCGTTACGGATTTTTGAACTAAAAAGTGGCCCCAAACTTTTGATACAGAGCAATTNTATACTTTTGAAGATAAATTTTCGAGTAAAAGATAGATTGTTAACTTGCCGCCAAAAACACACGTATCGTTATTTTTTTATTTTATAGCTTTGTCATGAGTTGCGGCTGGTATTTATTTGGATCAGCGCCATCTAGCGTTACGGATTTTTGAACTAAAAAGTGGCCCCAAACTTTTGATACAGAGCAATTTAGCTCAGAGCTATTTAGTCAATTACAAACCAACCGCAACTCATGATAAAGCTATAAAATACAAAAATAATAATACGTGTGTTTTTGGCGGCAAGATAACAATCTATCTTTTACTCGAAAATTCATCTTAAAAATTATAAACACATAGGAGGTCAATTTTTTGGTAAAAAATCAATTGTTATCTTGCCGCCAAAAACACACGTATTAGTATTTTTTTATTTTGTAACTTTATCATGAGTTGCGGCTGGTTTATAATTGATTAAAAGGCTCTAATCCTGATTGCTCTGATTCAGAATTTTGGGAGCCACTTTTGGCCAAAAAATTGAGACCGCTAGATGGCGCTGATCTAAATAATTATTACTACTCATAGTAGAGCCATGTAATCAATTATAAACCAGCCGCAACTAATGTAACAGATAAAAATAAAAAGTTGAAATGATTTGTGCTATTTGCGGCAAGTTTACATATTATTTTCTACTCGAAAATCGACCTCCAAAAGTATTGATACTCACATAGTTTAATACAATCGACCTTATGGCACTACTTAGTAGTGAATTAGTGATTTCTATAATTACCACACATAACACTCTACGTATATTGTACATCGTGCTCTACTCTTTACCAGAATTATAAAATCAGTATAGGTCAAAAATAGCAGACGTCAAGGGTCTATTTGAGTGTTTCGAAAAACGCAATAAGTATATACAGCTGGAGATTAATGGTCACATGCATGCTAAAAATACTTTAATTTTTGCCAAAAATGTAATAATTGTCACCACACATCCTCGTGTTTTGGTTATTTGTAGGTATATATTATTATATCGAAGCACGCAAATAGCCCCATCATAGTAGACCTTGTCGTCGGTAGCGTCGGTCAACTGTCGATACAGCAGGGCCGATATTTTCCTTGCTGTACCGACGGTTGGCTGACTCGGTCGAACTGCAGGTCTCTCTCTTATCTGGTGTCGACCGTCGGTACAGCAGGGTTTGTAACGATAGATGACGCTAGATCCAAATGCTATTTACCGACGAGCTTTTTGGGGGTCTATATGATCGATTTACGCAATACAAACACAATTAAAGCGAGACATAAGTACGTGATACGTACAATAACCCAATAACCCATGGGTGACAATTATTTACATTTCGGCAAATTTAAGTATTTTTAGCAAACATGTGACTATTAATCTTCAGCTGTATTGTGTTTTTCGAAGCGCGCAAATAGACCCTTTAACGTTTATGCGCAAATAGCGATTTTCAACCTCTACTATAGTACATCTATATACATTTCTAGTGATTTACTTCTTCCAGAAATCCCTAGGATCTAGGGGTTTTTGCAAGACGGTTCCCCTAGAAAATAGTTTGCGTCAGTCCGCGTAATCCGCAACGCTAGATGGCGCTGATATACTGTTTACGATGGATCGAAAATTAACAAAATATAACAATGGCGATTTGTATAAGTAGTACATCACGAATGCCAATTTAAACATATTTAAAGACTAAAAAATAGGTTTGTTCATTTATCGCTCTGAGCGCTCCGAGGTCTCCGAGCGATGTATAAATGAACACAGGTTCTTTGTCGGAGAATTCGGAGCTCGGAGGCCTCCGAGACAAATTTATACTATATAGGTATACTCACCGCTTATAATTAACTGATGTTTGTAAACAATGAGCAGTTACAGTGAGTATACCTATATAGTATAAAGACGTCTCAGAGGCGAGAGGCTGAGAGGCCTCCGAGTTTTCTCCCCGACGAAGAAAAAGAACTCGTGTCTCGTGAGTCTCGTCAGAGTTCATTTATAGTAATAGAGCGCTCGGAGCGCTCCAAGGTGGATAAATGAACAAACCTAATAAATGCAAAACGCACGTGCGTTGGTTCCGCAAGTCCGCAAACACGATGCAGCATGCGGAAAAATTGAATGAAATGATGTGAGTGCAAGAGAGACACACAGTGTCATGCCTTCTCTCTTTTGTACACATGTACACTTGTACGTATTATTCTTAGTCTGCTTGAGTAAAGGCCAGAAGGCATTAGATCAGATCGATAGTGTGACATAATAAACGTGTTGAATTGTTGCTTGAAAAAGTTTTAAGGTAAATCCTGGGCAGAGCCATGTCGAAGTACAAGATAGTTATGGTTCGCCACGGCGAGAGCGAATGGAACCAGCTGAATTTGTTTTGCGGCTGGTACGATGCTGGCCTTTCTGAGAAAGGTGAGATCTAGGGTTATATTTGGCTTTCAAGGGCAAAAAAGGTCACGGATGTCACTCTGGAAGCCGGTGCTGGTCGTGATCTTGTCTTGAAGATGATTGTAATTTTTTGTTATTTAGCTGATGGGCTGATTCAATTGTCAATTCTTTCATTATCATAGTATTGAGTACTATTTTTTTTCACAATTATTAGGTACAGTTGCAGTTATTAGATAGAAATGTTACAAACACATTCTGATGTAAAATCAAACATCGGAATAGCATTTGTACTTAATTATTGTGTATTTTATTTAGGCAAGAACGAAGCTCTCGCAGCGGGCAAAGCTTTGAAAAATGCAGGCTACACGTTTGACGTGGCTCACACATCTCAGCTGACCAGAGCCCAAGTCACTCTCCAGAGCATTCTGAAGGAAATTGGCCAGGAAAGTATTCCAATAAACAAAACATGGCGCTTAAACGAACGTCACTATGGCGGTCTGACTGGCATGAACAAAACCGAAACTGCTCAGAAGTATGGGGAAGAGCAGGTGCAGATCTGGAGACGATCTTTTGACACCCCACCACCGCCAATGGAATCTGACCACAAATACTATGAGGCCATTGTCAAAGATCCCAGGTATGCTCAGGAACCTAAGCCAGAGGAGTTTCCCAAATTCGAGTCTCTAAAGCTGACTATTGAGAGGACTCTTCCTTACTGGGATGGAACTATTATTCCTCAGTTGAAGGAAGGAAAGAAAATCATCATTGCTGCTCACGGCAATAGTTTAAGAGGCATTGTCAAGCATCTTGATCGTGAGCATCTTTATAATATATCTATTAAAACATTTGTGTTGGGCAGGCTTGATATTTGCTTTGTTTGTTGTTTTATAGAATTGAGCAATGACGAAATTATGGGTCTCAATCTACCAACTGGAATTCCATTTGTCTACGAGTTGGACGAAAACTTCAAGCCAGTTGTGTCCATGAAATTCCTTGGTGACGAGGAGACTGTGAAGGCAGCAATGGCTGCTGTTGCTGCCCAAGGCAAGGCAAAGTGAAGAAGTGTTGTTTTCAGGAAAATTAAGTACTATCACAGATTTTTTCGTTCTGTATTCAACACGTGTATTTATTAATATTCCTAGTCTTGCCATTGATTGGTAAAGAATTAGAAGGAAAACAATGTTGCTCTTGTTTAAGAAATTATTTATTGCCAATACAATAAGCTTTGGTCTTGTTAATAAAGGCCAACGTCTTTATGATTGCATTATTATTTGAAATAGAAAGAAAAAAAATAACTGTTTTAATAAGTTATTTTCCATTTCAATATTTAATCAAATAATAGATGTTGTAGAGTCTGTAAATAAATCAATTTGAAATGAGTATGAGAGTATCATTTGCATCGAGTATATACTTAAAAAACGTCAAACGAGCTTTTGTTGTCGATGTAGCCGTAGAGAGCGCTTCGCTCGCAGTGCAATTCATATACACATTTTAGTTAAGTCTATAACACGTCATCCCCACACGTGCAGCGTATGCTTACGTGGAGAGAAAAAGCAAAAGCAACAAGAGTAAAAAATAGAGAAAGTGCAGAGACAGCCGCCCAAGGACCGCAAATAATTTTGCACGTTCTTTGTAAAGGTATAGTCGTCGTTTACTCAAGCACCACTCTCCACTGTGGCTGCTGTTGTTGATTTTCCATTCCCGTCCTAGTAAAAAGATAAGAAAGTACCTCCCACAATCGCGGTCAACATCGCTCATGTGCCTGTGCTAGTCCCAAAGTTGTGATATCTACAATGTTCAGTGTGTTGTGGGTCTAAAAAAAAAAAAAAAAAAAACACCACTCGAGTAGGTATATATGTATCGTTGGAGAAACAAACAAGCAGGATGAATCCGTCCAGGGAAAACAATTCAAGCAACGAAGGTAGGATCATACCAGAGGCTCCGAGGCTGCCAATACGCAATCCGCTGCTCACGCTCGCCGATTCGCAATTCAGTATCGAGGATATCGCTACTGTCCGGCTGGTGCCCGTGACCCCGGCTACTCCAGCTGTGCTCCGGGATGGTAAGCACGAATGTATTTTTCATCCACAAACCACAGATGTTGTACTTTGTGGTCCTATGTGTTATGTGTGTGTCGATGCATAACCTATTGTACTTGCGGTGGCAACATTTTTTTAAAAATCTTTACTTAATGCTTTTGAATCTCTTTTTGCGAGAACGTTTTTTAAGAGTAGGTTGAGATTTGTACCATATGTCGCGAGAGGGGCACTTCGTTTCGTATATTAGCACATGTTTACATGTAGAAAATGTTTTGGAGTTACAAGTGTGTGTATATACCTATAGGTATTGTGATTTCGGAGCACCAGCTGATGACGACTATGTATCTTTAAAAACGGAGCAAATCTGTAGGCGAAAATAAATAAAGAGCATTTGAAAAATAAAGTCCGAAACATGTTGTCAATCGAATGTGTTATACATATACAGATACGTATTTCTTATCGTATCAAAAATGCGTATCAGTAGCGAACTGAATAAGTTGGAGATTCAGATCGAGCCTAATATACTTCAAAGCGACCAAACAGGTTTAAATGAATCGTGTCTATGACATATGTAGTTTCTTTTCATCTGTTTTTGTCGCTTATCTCTCTGTATTGCGTAAAATTGATAGAAAACGTTGTAAAATCTTTGTTAGCTTAACAGTCACGCAGATGTGTCCATTAATACCTCAATGAAGTTAAACAAAGAATGAGTTGATGCCGTGTCATTTTTTAAGCTTACTTAAATGTATCTGTGAGAATCTAGTTATACTAAAATTGCCAATGTTTACACATTGAAAAATGAATTATTTTTTTTTTTTTTAATATTTATTCTCGTTACATTTCATTACACATTGTACCTGTCAAATGTCAAAAGGCATTTTTTTGTTAGCTTATAAAAATTCAACTTAATTACCAAAGTGAAAAACAACTTACCAGTTGAAAAATTACACGATAAAGTTAATCTGTTGCTTTGCCTGTACGTTATCCATGCTAGGTAGGTATAATAGTTTTTGTAAAAAATGTGTGATGATTTTTTTTTCTTTTTTGAACATAAAAGTGATCTAACATTGCCAAGAGTAAAATTAAAAACATTTAAATATAATCATCAGAAATTAACAATTTAATACATTAATAAAAACTCACTCCTCTACTAAAATAAATAAAAACGATAATTTAAATTTTTAATTCATATGTTAACATTAATAAAAAATAAAAAAAACAATAAAAAAAATCAGAATTTAAAGTAGACAAAAACTATTTGCATATATTTTCATTAGAAATCCAAGTATTGTCAGAAGCAGACACTTTTGAATAAGTGTTTTTGTTACTAATGTACTATGGATTAGACTGAAAATTTTATATACACTTAAGACAATTTTAAAAATTATTCCTAGAGTTTTAGAAAAAATAATCTACCTCATTATTATATTTTTTATAAGATCTACGATTACAAAAGCTTTGAACAGGTCAAACAAGAATTTTTTTTACATTTAAACGATTAAATTTATTTAGTCTTGAAACTTGGTCTTTTTTTGCAGTTAAATAACTGCGTAGACTGGTACAACCCTACGAATTGTATATGTTACAGGTTAATTGATACAAAATATTTACGATTACTTGTTGACACGTTTAACTCAAGAGATACCTTAATTACCGTTTATATGTCAATGAAACTTTTCGAACATAATTAATTTTATGGAGTTAGGGTATCTGAGGAAAAATAATAAACAATTTTTTTTTAAGTCTTTACTACAAATCGCAAGTAATTGAATATAACAAGTGTAAACTGTTATATTCAATATATTTAATTTTTTTTCATAACTATTCAGCGACGACTGTTCAAGTAGTATTATAGCTTAATTAGTTAACAGGATTGTGCCTTATATGCACCCAATTATCAAATTCAACAATCTTGATCCAATTAAAAAATACAAATGTATAAATTTATTAAATAATTCACCTATAAATACTAACGTTATGATTATGATTTAAGATAACAATGAATATCTAAAGTGTTAACGATAATGTCGAGCATTGTTTAAAAGTGTAATAATATAGTAAACATATGAAAGCTCCTTACGCAATACTTAATAAAATACTGTAAATGCAAAAACAGTGGGTTTAAAAAAAAAAAAAATTTAGAACGCTGTTTAAAATTATATCTTCCTTCACTGTGGTGACGATCTCGATCCATATCGCTGGGAGTATGGCAATTCGTGACTTTGTCTTCTCTTGATGCAGTAAACGATCGATATGGCGATCAATATTATCAGCAAAATGATAAAAAGCGTTATGAAGATTACTGCCAAAATCTCGCCTGTCGTCAGGTTGGTCCATTCTGTAGATTACAATGATATATAATTACTGGGAATCGATCAAACGAAATTCATACTCGTATACATTGAAAAAAAAACTTTTCCAAGTCCAAGAAGATTTTTTCCAGAATAGTTTAAAAAATTTCAACTTTAACAATTTTTTTAACTGAAACCGTTCCAGAAAAAATTTTGTTTAATTCTTATATATTTTTTTTTCAATATGCAGTAGATTTTTTGTTTAACAATCAAAATAATTTCGATTATAATTACCATCAACGTCGATTCTTCTCGAATACACGTTCCCCGACGAATCGGTAGCTGTCACTTCTATCACGCGGTTACAACAATTGTGGGCGTAGAAAAATTTCACGGGACTGGAAGTCCCACTGACGTACGGGGTACGCGCGTAGATGCCTTTGGGAACGGAAGTGACGCTTTTCAATCCTAAATTTTTTCACAAAGAAAAATTCCTCATTATGATGATGATGAGCATGATAATTGGGAAAAAAATGTCTGTACAACCTGAATCAACATCTTGAACCACGATGTCGACGCTCCAGAAGCTTTTCAGGCATTTCTCCCCGCTGGTTCTCCCGTTACAGTTGTTGTTGAAGTAGTAGTGGATTTCTGGCCTTTTATCGTCGTATACCTGAACGGTACAACAATACGAGTGGTTTGAATATTAAAAAAAAAAAAAACCCGTATGTGGTACCCTTACAGAGTTTACAAAAAAGTGTTTATGGAAGTAAAAACTTTTCCGGACAGGAATTCAAATATTATCTACCAACCCTCCCGTTGGTCGACGATCGAACGTAAAAGTTGGCCGATTTCTCGACGATTTCGATGCCCTCGACTCGCAGAGTGACTTTATTGACTGTATCGGCGACGTTGGGTGGCACTATGACGTCAATAGGCACATTGGCAGTCTGCCCAGGTGCAATGTCCACGCTAAACAGCAAATTTGTAAATTACCGGTAAAAATGACGGAATATTTCCGTGTGTCAGAGGAGATTTGGGTAAAATGGTTTACTATCGAGGAAGACCGTAGATCTGAAACGGACTGCTCGAAGGGAAGAGATAGTGCCTGATCCTTAAAACGTGGTTGTTTGTGATTTCGAAGGTCAGCCGATGGTAGGATCCCGGATTGGCGATGAGCTCCGATCTCGGGCTAAGCTCCACGGTGAGGTACTTCCTGAGTGGCAGTTCTTCGTTCAGTGGGTTGCTCGAGTCGGCGAGATCCAGGAATTCTCGATCTATCACCCTGCTTTCGATCCCGAGGTCAACCACGTCCATTCTGCCGGTGGTTATGTTGTCCCCAGGATTGAAAGAGACGGTGTCCTTACTCTCATCGATTGGGAACCCAAATGGTCTTTGTCGTTCCTAGGGACATAACATTTTTTTACAAATCTCGTGATATTGGTATAAAATAAAAGAGTTTGTTATTAGGATATGCTGATGTGATGATAAAAAAAAATCAATTATTTAAATAGCTTCCAAGATTTTAAATCAAATCTAAAAATAAAATTTTTCAGCATGCATTAGAAAACGTTGTAAAATCTTTGTTAGCTTAACAGTCACGCAGATGTGTCCATTAATACCTCAATGAAGTTAAACAAAGAATGAGTTGATGCCGTGTCATTTTTTAAGCTTACTTAAATGTATCTGTGAGAATCTAGTTATACTAAAATTGCCAATGTTTACACATTGAAAAATGAATTATTTTTTTTTTTTTTAAT